TGTCTTTAGCTGGAGTATACAGAATCCCTTGCTTTTGTGGTTCCGTATACATAGGTACTACAGGGAGAAGCTTCAATAGTAGGATAAAAGAACACAAAAGGAACTGCAGTCTAGGACATACTGGGGGTTAGCCTTAGCCTGACACAGACCCCAGCGGCTAACCTTAGCGCCGCTCCCTGCCTCAGTCGAAGCTAGCGATAGGGCCTCAGCGAGGGGGGGGGCAACCCCTCCCCCTCGCCGGCCACCTCGGCTAGTGAGTTCACCGGGCACGTCACGACGTTACTAGTGCCAGCGTGCTGGGGGGCTCAGTCCGCCTGCCCGTCTTGCTAAGGAATCCTGACTGGGAGGAATGAACTGTGACATCAGGGACATGCTACATTCGTAGTAGTAGTTTTTTAATGCTGGGCGAGCCACGCATTGGCTGTATTACGTAGGACATTCATTTAATATTACACCACATTTATTTGAGCCAAATGAAGAATCTTTCTTCTTATAATGCATGCATGCAATACCATCTCCTCTCTGCATCCCACGAAGTTAGAAAGTGAGGGCAAACTTAAATAATAATCCCTTCCTTTCTCATGATAAGGGAGAGGATTATTACAGCAAGGTTTTACCTTTTTTATGGTGGCGATGACGGGAATGGTGTTAGTAAATGGTTCACGCCGTCTCTTTCAAATGGCTGTATCTTAATTAATTGTTTGCTACAAACGAAAACTCTGCTAGAACAATCGGGTACAAACGATATATAATGTTTCCAGTCTTTTTTACAATGGTGGCGATGCCAGTGTGAACTTGACACTACCACAATTCAAAGTGCTGTATCTTGTAAGTTGTTTTGGTACAAACGAATATTTTGTGGATATATATTAATTGAAATGCAGGTTGTTGCGAGGTAACATTTTACACGGGTGCCTATGTTTGATGGTTTTATGTATACCTTCAAGGTAAAAATAAATCAAATAGATAGAAACTATATGCTTCTTTTAATAAATCTAATCGCACATATGTGGGCACAGCTGAGGTCGTGCGAATGAAAAGAGAAGCGTCGTGATCCGATTTGGGAATAGAAGTAGTGAGTAGTTTCCAATCGAAACTAAATAGGTGAATCGTCAAGTTGGGCCATAAGTTAAGTTAAACTGTGAGATTGCTAAGTGGAACCAGATTTCATCAAGATTCCCAGTGGCAAGGAAGAAAGAAAGAAAGTAGAGGTCGGAACGAAAGATAGCACAGAAAGTACGCCCTTGTCGACCAAAGAGGAAAAAGACATCACAAAGTGGACGATGAAGCAGTTAAAAAAGGCTATAGAAGCATTGGACGCAGGTCTGTCAACTAAGGGGGATAAAAAGGCGCTGATAAAACGTTATGATGTTATGTAGTAATGAACGTTAGAATGTTATGAGGTAATGAATGTGCCTCTTTGTCAATTTCACACATCTCCGCAACGAATTCGATATAGTTCCTGTGAGAGACCTTGTCCTAACTCAGCCATTTCGCTATTAAATAATATTTTAATTCCAAAAATCACGAAATGAAACAATCCACTGCCTAATGCTGTCTGAAGCGCACTGCAAATGGTTCTAATTTTCCCGCGCCTTGTATTTGTAATGTGGTGAACAGTGGTTGCTGCGATTCGCGCTATTTGACTATTTCTAGTAGCAGAAAGGAGGAAGTGGTCCAAGAGCTCAAGAAACATTTGGATATAATAGTTATGCATTGAGGCAATTGACGGTAATTTAGTTCACAAAAAAAGAACTTGGTTTCGAAAATACAATGATCCACCCGAGCACTTTGCAACAAGCGTTAATGTTAATGCATTCAATACCGTCAATAATTGACTGAACTAATGTAGTTTCAATAACACGCGAAATTTATAAAATTAAATTACAGCTAGTTTGAGGCGAAGACAAAGAATTAAGATTCATCTCGGGTCGCCGCGCAGTGATCGGCGTAAAGACCCCCACTAGTTGCGCCACCGAAAGCCGTATGTTGCCGCGTAGGGCCAGAGTTAAATGAATAAACGCATTAATAGAGCCAACGGAGTGGCGCAGTATTACTCGGGCAACTTGTTTTGAACTATGGAATGAAGAAATGCGGGTAGAGTGGGGGTATTAGTTCGCCACTAGATTTTATGAAGCAATGCCAATCTCTGGAGAATCAGTCATGCCTTCATAACTTTCTCAATAATTTGCTTTCTAACTTACTCATGGGTTCGAGGTATCTCATGTGATAGATCTTTATCTGCTTCGGTCATTTCTTTAGAGAAATTTGGAGAAAATAACGAACAGAAGTACTTATCTTTAAAAGAAAATTGTTTCTATTTCGCGCCAGTGAAGTTGTGTTTGGAATGTTGTCGTGAGTGCACGCTGCGAGCTATTGCCTTCAACTGTTTATTGTGCCAGATGGGGAGTAAGTCATCGTTAAAGAAACGTTGCGCGAGTAATACCCGGGAGGGCACCAGATACCGGAGAGAGAGCTAGTAGGATGCTATTTGATTTCACATACATCGATAATGCTCAACTATATTTAATATTATTAAATCGAGAATGCATATTTCTAACATATTATACAATATTTTTCGATTATCACCACCTTGCGAGCGTGCCAGAAATACCGCGACTGCATGCCGCTCGGCAGACGCTGGACGCCGGGCACGCGGTAACGAACGTGCGTCTCTTACTCAAGCGTCTCTTACTCAAGTCGTCTCTTACTCAAGCAGTGCATTCAAAAATTTTGTTACGTAAACGCAATTCCGATTCAGAATTGTTTGTCGTTATTCTTACAGCATGGTGGCAGCGGTAAAATTGTGGATTTACCACTAGAAGCAACTAGCACGCGAAAATAGCACAAGAAGGGGCAGCTATTCTGCAAATGGCAGCGGCGGCGGTGAAGTCGTCCTACATCGCCATACCGGATCCGTTCTATTTAAACGCTTCTGGAAATTGGCCGAAATTAGAAAGCAAGTCGAAAGCCTTCAACAACCTACTGTAAATCGAATTGTAACACATAAAAGAAACGGCACTAACACTAAATTCACCGACAGTGAGAAGAAATCTGTTGATAAGCAAAACCAAATAATCTGAAATGCGACCTTACCTCAATTCCAGGCAGACGAAAAACTTCCAATGGCGTGGCCTTGAAAAGCACGAGCGCAAATCATATCCGGCCAAAAACGCTATTTGTTACGAATGCAAAAACTAACGCCATTTCTCTAATAGCTGCAGATCCAAGAAAAATGTGTGCCCGATAACCTAAGATAAACTAGAGCTAGACGTGCTACACATTAGTTCTACTGACGAGAGCGGGAATCCTGACGACGAATGGATGGCGATGATACAGGTTAACGGGAAGAATATCCGGTTCAAAAACGACACAGGTAGTTACGTCACAGTCCTCTCATCAAAGTATGCCGGAGACAGAACATGGAATAAACCTGCAGGGAAGGTAACAGGCCCGGATAAAACAGAATTGGAAGTACAAGTAATTGAGCAGGACTATACATGTAGATATCTACTATATCCATAACTTTCATCAGCCGCTATTGGGGAAATACGAAGCAGTTAAACTAGGGTTAGTGAAGAGGATCGACGTGAATCCATATGAAATGCAAATTGACGATGAAACCCGATGCAAAACCGGTCACGGTGATCTCCTAGACGGATCGCCATTTCCCTCATTCATCAGGTCGAGAAAGTGCTATAGAAGATGCTGAAGGAAGAAATAATTGCACCGGTCCACGAGCCTACTGAATGGTGTTCTCCAATGGACGTCACCTTCAAGAAGGATAGCAGTCCGCGGATTTGCCTCGACCTTAGGGAGCTGAACAAAGCCATACAAATTTAAAAGTAGCATACAATGTAGGCTTTACGGCCGCGTTTCTACATTGATTGTTAATGAAGGGGATATAGATCTAATATTATTAATATAGAGCCATCAAGGCTTAAGTGGTCAACTGCCAACACCCTAATGTGAATTCCAGCATTAACATGGAAGGCTTCACGTTACTGATGGAAGGCGTCAAGTATCATGACAATGTAGCTTTTCGACGGCCGGTTTTCTACATGATGTTAATAGGCCAGATATAGATCTAAAATTATATAGATCCATCAATCTTAAGGTGGTTCAACTGCCAATCACCCTATTGGAATTCCAGCATTACGATGTGAAGCGTCACGTTACTGATGGAAGGCGTCAAAGTATCCATACAAGTAGGCTTTCACGGCCCGCGTTCTACATGATTTAATAGCGGATATAGATTCTTAATATTATATATAGATCCATCAAGGCTTTAGGGTGGTCAACTGCAACACCCTATTAATTCCAGCATTACCGCATGGAAGCTTCATGTAACTGATGGAAGGCGGTCAAGTATCATACAATGTAGACTTCACGGCCGGTTTCAACATGATTTAATCGATCATTAATCTAAAAATTATTATTATAGATCCATCAAGTTTAATGGTGGGTCAACTGCCAACACCCTATGAATTCCGCATTCACGATGGAAGGCGTCACGTACTGCATGGAAGGCGTCAAGTATCATTACAATGTAGGCTTTCACGGCCGGTTTCTTCATGATGTTAATAGCGCGCATATAATCTAAAATTATTATATAAATCCATCAAGTCTAAGGTGCGGTCCAACGCCAACACCCATTGAATTCCAGCATACCGATTGGAAGCGTCACTACTGAGCGAAGCGTCAAAGTATCATACAATGTACCTTTCACGGCCGCGTTTCTACATGATGTTTAATAGGGATATAGATCTAATATTATTATATAATCCATCAAGCTTAAGTGGTGCAACTGCCAACACCCTATTGGAATTCCAGCATTAACGATGGAAGCCTCAATGTTACTGATGGAAGCGTTCAAGTATCATACAAGGGCTTTTCACGGCCGGTTTCTACATGTGTTAATAGGGATATAGAAATCTAAAATTATTATATAGACCCATCAAGTATTAAGGTTGCGTTCAACTAAGCCAAAACACCCTATTGAATTTCCAGCATACGATGCGAAGCGTCACGTACTGATGGAAGCGTCAAGTATTCATACAATGTAGGCTTTCACGGCCCGTTCTACATGATCGTAAAATAGGGGATATAGATCTAAAATTATTATATAGATCCATCAAGTCTTAAGGTGGCGTCAACGCAACACCCTATCTGAATTCCAGCCATTACCGATGGAAGGCGTCACGTTACTGATGCGAAGCTCAAGAATCATGAACAATGTAGGCTTTCACGGCGTTTCTACATGATGTTAATAGGGCAATATAGACAATATTATTATATAGATCCATCAAAGGCTTAAGTGGGTCAACTGCCAAACACCCTATTTGAATTCCAGCATTACCGATGGAAGGCGCGTCATTACGTTATGGAAGGCGTCAAGTATATCATACAATGTAGAGCTTTCACGGCCGTTTCTACATGATGTTAATAGGGATATAGATCTAAATTATTATATAATCCATTCAAGTTGAAGCGGTGGGTCAACTCCCAACACCCTATTGAATTCCAGCATTACCGATGGAAGGCGTCACGATACTGATGGAAGGCGTCATCAAGATATCATACAATGTTAGGCTTCACGCCTTTCTAACATGTGATGTAATAGGGATATAAAGAGCTAAAATTATTATATATATCCATCAAGTCTTAAGGTGGGTCAACTGCCAACACCCTATGATTCCAGCATGTACGATGGAAGGCGTCACTTACTGATGAAGGCGTCAAGTATCATACAAATGTAGGCTTTTCACGGCCGTTTTCTACCATGATGTTAATAGGGGATATAGATCTAATATTATTATATAGATCCATCAAGCTTAAGGTGGGTCAAACTGCCAACACCCTATTTGAATCCAGCATTTAACCGATGGAAGCTTTTTTTCCATTGTAACTGGATTGGGGGAAGGGCGTCAAGTATCATACAAAGTAGCTTTCACGGCCGTTTACTACTGATGTTAATTAGGGGATATAGAATCTTAAAATTTTATACTAGATCCATCAAGTTTAAGGGTGGGTCAACTGCCAACACCCTATTGAATTCCAGCATTACCGATGGAAGGCGTCACGTACTGGTAAGCCATTTTCAGCCACGTCCGGGTACTTTTGATCACATAGTGTATATAGGCGGCCCGTATCCCGGTGCGGCAGCCAGGGGCGGTAAGCGCCGGCGAGACCGGCGACGGCAGCGGTCAGCGCAAACCAGAACAGCAGGAGCGGATATTGACCGCTGGCAGATTACCGAAGAATTGGCTGGTTATTGGTGTCCACGCAAACACCCCTCAGCAAGCGACTATAGCCGAGTTATATTGCGGAGGGCGGAACATTAATGTTCGCAGAGAACCACTCCTTGACATAGCGTCGTTTGCGGATAATGAAATTTAAAAAATGGAAATAAAAATGTAAAAATATGCCTTCTAAAACACCAATGATACATAATACATACATAAAATAAAATATATTATTATATTAATTTTTTGTCACAATAATAACACAAGTTATAAATAATGAACTTAAGCGACGCGAGCGTTTTTTCAAAATCTCTGAAAATTAATAATGTTGCGAAAAAACATCATTGCTTGTCTGTGTGATGTGCTGCAAATATTTTAAGAGTTGACTTTTATTAATGTTTTGCGGTAGTAAAAAAGGGCTACTGATCATATACACACACACACACACACACCGCCGGTGCTCCGTTTGAATTTGTTTGAACTTTCTCAAGCCCGGTGCGGAAATTGCAAAATGATGATTTTATGAAACTGCCTGTGTTGACATTGACCGTTAAATTTATTCAAATTTGGCGCCACGTTTCAAACAGCGCAGTTTCGCCGGTTTTTTTAGGGATTTAAGAAGCAAATATCATACATTTCAAACTTCCCGCGTTCAAGATAAAAGGCCGTGCAAATTTCTGCCCCGCTTCAAATACTCATTTCTTTCGTACAAAATTCTTTGACGTAGATTGTTAACTGTTTCCTGTTCGGAGCGTCATCAAAAGATCGCATCAGCTCTGATCAGCTCCTGTGCAACCGCGTGAAACATGTGCACATTGTCAAACGTCTCGCAATCCAGCTTTTTCCTGATTAGACGTGGCGAGCTCGCATTGTCAACCTCGTCGACGGCAGAGGCGACGTGAGCAGTTTGCCGTGCACACAGGCTACGTAAAATGTGTTGGGCGTATTGAATTTTCGATTTGAGGCGGTCAGGCAATTCCCAGCACCATTTCTGCAGTCTAACGTGCAGTAAAAACGACGTAATTCGTAACGAAACGTTTAATTTCGTCTGGTCAGAGATAACCATGACAATCTCTTCAATACTCGATATTTCTTTCTCCAAAGTAACAATATTTGTCAATTATGTATCTTTCTTTACCAGAACACTCTCGTCTGATGTGTTCTGATCTCGTAAATATTCGATAGGAAAGGCGATGTTCTGCACTTTCTGCTAATGCTTTCCCAACGTACCTAACGAATATTTCGCTGCCTCAACAGTTCGCAATAATGCAAGAAAATATGTGCTGTAGAAGAACCTCTAGTTTTATCTTTAAAACGTTTCATGTGACAAAACAAAATATTTCCCGAAGGCAATTGGTTAGGGTCGTTATTTCTGCGTCTGATGAGCTTAATTTTATCATTTCAAAAAATACATATGTATATCTAACTTATATTCTCTGATAAATGAGATGGAAAAACTTCACAAACCGGGTGACAGTTGCACTTGGCACTTTTAATTGTAATATAGACTACAAATCTGAACTACAGTCACTCGCAAAACAATTCGGACACATTAATTTCAAGAATTCAACAGTTCTTACAGAAAACATTATAGTTAAATTTAGAAAAACCGGCCAAATTTCAAAGATGTTACCAACTCCAAAAGAAGAAAAGGGAAATTTATATTTGATAGGGATATTTTGTAAGCATAGATTTTTTGAAATGCTGCATTTTGATAATTAATGAGTTTTTTCAGTCTAAATGTATTTTATTTTTCAAACATTCTTAACTGTCTAAAATATCCTCATAGATTTAATTACATTGTTTAGTCATTACATATTACTAAATTTTAAAAAAATATAATTGATGAAAAAATTTGGTGGCCCCCAAAATAATGCCCGATGCCCCCCCTCCCCCCTGCTTCTTAGGCAGTACATTAGAAAGTACGAAGGGCGAGAAAGTTAAAAAAATAGGAGGGGCAGAAGGCATGGATGTATATCTTTCATATTCTCTCCAAAAGTTAAAAAAAAACAAATTCTTCAAACATTTTTTTATTGATTCAATTTTTGAAACCTAGTATTTATTTACAATTCTTCAAATTACACACATTCATCTGCTCAATATTTATTAACAGTCAGTATTATAAAATACAGCAAATAAGAGTTCCAGATATCAAAACTATCTCAAGAAATTGTGATAACTAGTTTTATAAGTAATATGTACAATGAAAATGCAAATGAAGGAATGAAAATTTTCAACAATCATCAAAAACAGGTCACTATAGAACTAAATAGTGAGCACTCACACGAGAAATTATGATGTGTCACAAATGAACTAGCTTAATGCCGTTGCTAAAAAAGTTTAATCCCATTGTTGCTTACACAACAAGTATTTGACAGGAAACTGTCACATAAAATATATAAAGGTGGAAGCTAAATTTAAAAGACAATTATCATCTTCACTGGGATATTTCAGATTGCTTAACAACATTTCTTATTCTCATATTTCATTCTTTAATACTGATGCAAAGAGAAAAATTATGCCCATCTTGACTAACTGAATTGATTGTCTCACACTGAAACATTTCTCTTTAGAAAAACACTATGATGCCACCCACAAGAGCAGCCATGTAGGTAAAAATGTTCCAGCAGCCACATTGAAAGCCCAGCTTCCGTACACTAGACTATCTACGACAGTTAGTAACAATGCTTGGCGAGCAGCGAGGTTTGTTCGACTCAGGAGGCCCATGAGACTTTCCTCAGGAAAGTTAGTGCGAGCTGCCAAAAGAACGGCCAATGAAAGAAGAGAAAGAGGATGTACTAATAGCCACAGAATTCTCACTGCCCCACGCAGCCACCTACAACAGAAAACAGAGCACTGTTCACTCTCAGTGTTGCAAGTGATTGGAGACAAGCATCACTAAATAATAAGCATTGACCCAATGGCGCAGGATATAATAACAGAAGTGAAACCAAAGATTTCATCAGACACCTAGATACAACAGTTCTAGACCAAGATGAACCCAGAGCTACCTTGGCCTCAGGTTTGGTGGGTAAAATGGATGTTTGATCTGAATAGATTGAGTGATAGTACTGCAAGTGTGCCAAGGAAAGTCACCTGAGGACTGACAAAAGGAAGCCAGGGTAGTCAGTCAAGCACACCTGAAAAGCAGTCCTGAAGTCAAATAAATAAGGGATAGTATTGTGTAAGTACCCAAAAAGAAAATCACCTGTCAGATGACTACTCAAGCTTTGTAGAAAAGCTGAGTGGTGGTGTTGACATTATTCATAGATGGGATAATGGAAGCCTGAGACTCAATAATAAGAGAAGAAAGCAAGCAGAGAGGAAGAGGGAGGGGAGAAGAGGAGAGGAGTAGAGGAATGAGAGGGAGAGGTGAGAGGAAGGGCAGAGGAATGGAGAGAGAAAAAGGAGGGAGACAGGATAGAAGGGGAGCAGAGGCAAAATAAGAAAGAAAATATAGAAGAGAGAGGAGAGAAAAAGGTGAGAGAGAGAGAAGAGGGGAGGGGTAAAAGAGAAGATGGGCAGGGAGAGGAGAGAGAGGACAGAAGGAGGGAAAGTAAAGATAATTCAGAGGGAGAAGAAAGAGTAAAGAGGTAAGGGAGGGGAGGGAAAGAAAGGCAGGTGAAGGAAAGTGGAAAGAGCAAAAAAGAAAAAGGAACAGAGAGCAAACAAATGAGAGGAGAGAGTGAAAAGAGGAGAGAAAGAGAAATGAGAAACAAGTTAGTGAGGACAGACAGAGGAAATGGACTGACTGATCAATTGATGTTTCCGGACACATTAACTGTTAAGGAAATTAGTCCTGCGGTGTGATGCATGTTTTAACACAGGATTAATTATTTTGTGTGTCCAGGAAAGTTAATAGCGACTGGCATTAGTCACATAAGTGTAGTGCACGTTTTAATAGCATTAGGTGGCAGTAATCTTCCTCACTGGGTGGTGAGATTCGGCACCGAACTTCACATTGGCTTACAGGGGTTTTACCCAACCATTTATGTCCTGTCAGCAAGGCACCGCCCCGTCGGGACATGCTCTAAGCTCCCAACTAATCTGTCAATATGTGGGGCAGTGTAATGCATGCAAGTATAAGTCAGAGTGAGTATAGGACAAGGAAGAGGTAGGAAACATTGCATGTGGTCTGTTTGTTAGGGTACTGTTCTGGCGTTACCCTGGTGTTGCCAGGAGAAACCACAGAAACTTCCTATCAGAGCATCCGGACGCTAGAATTCTCCTTCCCACAGGGACTGACTTAGAGTTAGCAACCTAGTTAGTGTCAAAAATACTGCCACAGTCGGGACTCGAACCCTACATCCTTCTGCTCAGAGACACTGCAATGACATCCATTAATGCCTTGAGCCACCTAAACTGGTAGAAAAAAAAGAGAGTGGGAAGAGAAGAAATAGAGAGGAGACAGAAAAAAGAGGTCAGTGAGAAATGAGGACTGAGTAGAGACAGAAATTGGAAAGGGAGAGAAGAGGCAGGAAGGGAAGAGAAAAGAGAAGAAAAAGGAAAACATGGAAAGAGGGAGGAGAGGAGTCAAAAAGAAAGGAGAGAGGGTAGAGAGTGTAAAGGTAAAGAGAGAAGACAGTGATGAGAGAGGTGGGAGAGTGAATAAAGAGAGGGGAATGGAGGGAGTATGAACAGAAAGAAGAAGAAGAATAGTGAGGAGAGAAAGAAAGGATGGAGATAAGACAGAGAGAGAGAGAGAGAGAGAGAGAGAGAGAGAGAGAGTCAGGGGGAGGGAGAAAAAGTCAAAATTATTTGCAATAGGAAAAGTAGAGAGTGGGTCAGAGGTGGGAGTCAACAATAGGAAAAAGCACAATAATTGATGATTGTGTTTGTCAGACATTGTCATATGCTTTCCGCTAAACAGCGCACATATGTGCTTGCTTGAGTACTGTCTTCTACACAGTCTACTGTGCCTCCACTGTGGACTCTTCCACAAGTCCACAAATGGCCCTGCCACAGGCTCTCTTACAAAATTATATAATTGGACAATGAACTTGTAAACATGATAAAAGAATAAGATAATAAATACAGGAGCTTTTAAAGATAGAAAACTGTAGAATAACACTACAAGCAATTGAAACAATGTGTAAACAAAAAAAATTTGTCTCGCAACAAAAACGCCATCCTTTGCAATTTACAATGCAATACCAAACAATTAACCCGCAAGATCTAACTTTCAAAATTCATTTTCTTGATTATTAATTAATTTTATATTTCTTCAAATAAAGGGGAAAAAAATTTTCACGTCTATATTTTAATTACTTATCTGTATTTCAGGCAAATTCACAATCAGATGCAGGCAGACTCACCATCTCTTAAAAGTTCCAATACCTAGAGCAATGGGTGTGCAGAGCATTCCACACACCAATGCAAGAGAAAAGTTATGCATGGCTACAGCCAAAAGTAAAGTGGCTAATTCCAAGAGAGCAGCAATATTAAGCAGTATTGGGACATCTGGATTGATAGCAACCATCCTGTAAGAGACTCCAATATATTAGAAAAAAATATTTTTTAAGCAAATAAAACTAATGAAAAACATCCTTATAAAATTGAGCAATGCAAGTATCAAGGACAGGGATTTGTACATAGAATTACATATTCCTTCCTTCATGAAATGAATGAATGGCATGAAATGAATGAATTTGGCTTTTTGAAGGTATTTGAAGCCTCATTGATTACCCATGTTTGTTCATATTCCCAGGTATATTGCACATTTTCACATATTTAAGGAAAACTTGCTTATTGTTGCATATTTCAACATTTTATTTGCAATAATTTCCACATTTTTTCAAAATTATTATTAATTTCAGATCAATTTTGTGTGGTAAATGGTCAATGTGTGGTGACTGAGTGGTTCAAAATTGTCTCTTGTATTCTTCTGATGTTAAGTGAATTTTAAGCCAACAATAAACAATAGAAATAAAAATACAATTCCACTTTGGATATTTAAGACATTGCTTTGTAACACACAGCTTCATAAATGGTCAATTATACCAGAAAAATATTAAGGAATGATATATTAAGAAGAAATAGGAAGAAAGGGGAAGGAATATAAGGAAGAAATATTAAGTTTAGTAGAGTTTTCCCATTTTCAATGAGAGTTCTTTGCCTTCCAACCCTTTGCAAAGGGGGACTTCCTTTTCGCCTACTCTGGCATTGAAATCTCATGAGTTCTGTTCTTTCCACTTTTTACTTATTATCAAAACTACTCCTGCTGACACATGTTTTTCTTCCTCTATGCCTGAATACATTACAATATGGTCTTCTCGTTCTTTTGAACCTTTATTCTTCTTTTTTGTTTCTGAGATGACAGTTATATCTAGGTTCCTGTTTTTCAGTTCATAGTTTAATTCAGTTTCTTAATGCAAAAGTCCTCCATTGCATGTTACTACTCTTAGCAAGCTATTAATAGGAATATTGTTTTTGGTGTTGAGGTGTTTTGCTTTTGAGTGTTGCGTGTGTTGTTCTGTATTCTCATCATTTGTATTCTCTTTTAATTGTTGCTGTCCTGCATTTGTTCTTTGGTGTTGAAACAGGATTACATCACTTTCCTTCAGTGGCAGGGACTTCTGCTGTAGTTCTACTTGTTGACTTATTCTTTCCTCGTCTGTTTTGTCAGATATCTGTAACAGTGTTTCATTACTTATTTTGTCTTAGGGTTTCTTTTTAGTTTCCCCAACCTGTTGATGTATTATAACCGAGTCCCTGTCAGCTCTATAATTATCTCTACTTTTGCTTATTAATTTTGGCGTTTGTTTTACTGCATATTTCAATGTTTCTTTTATTTCTTGCATTATACAATATTTCATTTTGGGTTTCTTTGTGTTATACAATATTCTGGGTTTCTTTGAGGAATTCTTGGTTGTTTTCTAGTTTATTTTGGCATTCTTGACATAGTCATATTCATAAAAATAACTCTTTTTATTGCATTAATCATGATATAACATTAATAAGATGAGTAAAACATTAAGAGCATTTTGTGATACACAAAAATGAAATACATATTTACAAAAGTGAGTAAAGAAGTGATGTATTTTTTAATGGTTATTTGTTTAGTCTTTTTATTTATAACCTGACAGTTGACAATTTAAAAAAGGAAATATGATTTTCAAATAATAAAGATATTAGCGTTAAATAAATTAATACCAAATCCAGCAGGGAGTGGGCAACTGCAGTTTTGCCACATGCTTCTACAAGTACAGATGTTTTCAAATTATTAGACTACATACATTTTTCACAAAAGATGTTCATGTATTTCATGTTTACATTTGTGTACATGTTACAGTCGAACATTTAATACTTACTGTTAGTGTGCGTGCCTTTGTTGTTAATCAATAACTTTATCCTGTTTGGCATTATGTTTATCAACTTTTCACTTGAGTTTTTAATTTTGTCACAGTACCAATCTCCCCTTTGTCTACAACTTCTTGTAGATTTCCTTCTTCTCTGGGTAATAACCCATAAATTTGCCATGGTGTTCAAGTCAGAGCAATTCCATGGCCTTGGTAGCACACTAAATTGCTTTTCTTCCAAATTCGTGAAGACACTTTTGTCCTTGGCACACTGTGCTTCATCATGCATAAAAATGCCATCTTCATTAGGGAACCACTGTAATTTGGGGAAAACATTCCTTTTCAAGGATTCGTTTGTATTGGTATTGCCTCATTGTCGCTTTGACAATGTTCAATCTGCCAGGACCTTTCACAGACATCACACTTAACAGCGCTTCTCTCCAATTATATCATGGAACTTAGGAAAGACATGCTTAATCTAACAATTTGAACAGGTAAGTGTCCTCTTATTAAATGTCACTTGCTCTTTCTTCCCAATCACACATCCAACATAGAAAGAGACTATAGAATTGTTGGATTTTCATTTTGTATATTTAACAGAGCACACAGCTATGCAATTAATACCAATTAATATTTTCATTTGCCCAGTTTACTCAAACATTTATGATGCATAATATTCTACTCGCCCAATAAAAGCTTTCTGTATTCCACAGCCAGAGTCAATAGAAACTGTCTTGAGGACGCCACATCTTAGTCATAGTTGCCAATATTTTGGCCATTGTACAGCAACCTTCCTCAGGGTAAAATGCTTTTCATTACATCTCAACATTCCTTCCCCTTCCAAACCCAGACCTACTGAATATCTCAGCTTACCATATGCCACATTACGCCCTTGCCCAGCCGCCATGTTAAGGCCAGTAAGTCATTGTAAAAGCCATTAAAAAATACGTAAGAACTTAATGAAACATTTGACAATGCATTTCTGTCGTAAAAGCTTATAAGCCCACTAATAAAATTATAAATTATAACTGAAGCATAAGGATATTTCATCATAAATAATACCTGGCAATTATTGTAGCAGCTCCAACAAGCAATACTGAGAATACAATACTGCCTATCCATACACAATCCACAGTAGGTATATTCCATGTTGCAACAGCAAAACGAGTGACAAAGACAGGTAAGTTCACAGCCATTACTCCCAACACATGGGCTGTTAATACAAGTCCTCCAACAACAACTAGAACTGGACCACCATGTAGTCCCAACTTTTCTTTCTGCAAAATCAAATAGCTCATGAACGATGTTATTAACTCACTACCTCAATGTACACAATTTAATCAAGGATAATAAGTGCTGAAAAGACTAAGAGAAAATTGCTGTAAGAAAGTATATAGACTATTCCCAAAATAAATGTAGAAGATTTATTCCTCAAGATGTATTTCACAAATTCTGCCATCATCTCATTCTTTGGAAAATTACAATGATATATTTTCAAAAGTTAGAGAAAATTATACATGGCATCCGCAAAACATGTAAACATTTGCTCCTGATTGGTGAGTTTTGAAAGTCAGTACTGAATATGTTACATAAAAACAGTAAAATGCAATGAAACAATCAACCGCCAACTGCAGATTTCGATTCTCTATTCCAGAAAGAACAAGTGGCAAAAGAATAACTTTTGTTAAATTTCTTAGCATTATAATACTACAGAATTCAAGTAATATTCACAGTTTTATTTCAGAAATTCAACACTGATAGTGAAATACAGTATCTGCAAATATAAAATCCTGCACAAAAAATATGTTTTCGTAAAACAAAAAACACAAAAAGATATTTAAGAAAAAATCAATATACATATATAATACTAAATTATCTTTACATCGAAAACAATAACTGTAAAGAACTTTTCTTTCTTGTATACCGGCAATTTAAATGACCTTTTTTTATTGCACAAAATGGTTCATACAATGGCATTTTAGTGGCACAGATGATGTATTAGCCATTTATGGTACAAATAATTGTGTCATTGCACATTCAATCACAGTAAGTGAATAATGAGGCAGTGGTGGTAAACAGCACAGCCAACCAAATCCCAGAGAGCGAATCGTGGAATGGTGGCAGTAAACTGCACAGCCATACACCGATTGTTTTTTTGTTTTTTTCTCCATAATTGTCAAATACATCTGACTTCAAAATATAGTTGTTTCCATCAATTAACTTTGATTCTCTTATAAATTTATAATGATGATATATTAAAAAAAATAATGTATGCAACTTGTTTACAATGTTGCTATATTGCCATCATACACGTTTGATAACTTTCTCCTAATGTCGCTCGTTTTCAAAATGTATTCATGCCATAAAAATTTACATTATAAACAGGATAATACACTAGTACATACGTAATATACTAGCATACATGCATAATTTACTAGTACTCAACAATGGGTACACACCACATCAGATATGGTACTTTCTTCCTTTTCTGAGATTTCCGTTGAATCTTCAATCTTTTCATCTACAAATTTGTCATCATTAATATTTCCTTCTTTTTGATCAACTTCCTTAGTTAGCTCATCCTCATCTTTAGACTCATTAGATTCATGATTAGAAGCTTGAGCAGACTCTTCACTGCTCATACGCAGCCACAAAGAAAAAGCTCGTATGAGCAAAGCCCCACACATGAGACCTAATGATGGCATGTATGCTCCTGATAAAAAAACAAAACAAACACCAATAATAAATATAATAATAATAACAACATAACTACATTGTTTTTGCTGTGTTTTACCACATTCAATGACATGTTTAATCATTGTTTTTCTTTGAATTAGTAATGTTTAAGTTGTTTGCAAGTTTCACCAATGTGATTACTGGAAGTTAAACTCACATGCAGGTAAAGGTCTGAGAATTATCAATTAAACACAAGTAATCACGGTTTTCTGCTTTCTTTTTTCATTTCAACAGCAGTAATCTTACGATAAAGTGTTCAGAGATTCTCAACTGAATTATGTTGAACAACAATGATCTTCAGCAAAACCTGATTTGGAGTGAACATAAAAGAATTCTTCATAGAATTGATAATTTTGATAAATATGTTAAAGGCATTTGAGGTTTCCTAAACGCACTATTACAATAGAAGCTGCCCTAATGATTTGTTGTTACAAATTATGTATTTGTTGATTTTTGTTAGTTGTAATTTGAATTAAACTTTTTCTGTAATTGTTAGTATTAGTGGCTGACACTCTCAGTGGTGGTACAAAATTTTCTTCACTTTGGAAGAAAAATAATTGGCTCCGAGAATTATTTTTATATTATATAGATTCATCTTGTGATAACACTAGTTCCTCAAACTAAAGATTGTAAGATTGTGTATGTTGAGTGTCATAACAATAAATTCATTATTTTGGTTGACAATTCATGATGAACCAGACACGACAAAGTTACACCATATAAATACAAGCCCTATGATTAGAATTAACAAAAATCAATTAATCAATTTAAAAAATGAATTCATCCACTTAACTTCTAAATAAATACTGAGCATAAAATGTTTTGTTCAGGATATATTTCACTACTTTCACATAAATATGATGCAAATAAATAATTTTCTTTCTATTTATATTAAGTTAACAACTGTTTTTTCATGAAAATAATTATTATAAGGAATGACTTGTTTGTTACAGACATAAATGTTGTTATAATAATAATAATAATAATAATAATAATAATAATAAATAATAATAATAATAATAATAATAATAATAATAATAATAATAATAATAATAAAAAAAATACCATTACAGGACATTCCTTTCTCAGGACGTACTCAACAGATTCATTGACTCACCTATAGAAATGTATCGATCTGTGGCAGATAACAGATAAAAGAAAAAAGATTGGTGGAATCTTTCTAATAGATTGTTCAGAGATCGGCATATTCCTTCCACAACTCTGAAACATTAAGTATTAATATTCATGACTACTGAAAATTTTTCTATGCTCATCTCGGTCTACATTCTTTAAAACTTTACCAATAAAATATTTAAAAAGAGAATAAATCAATACTATAAATTGTATAATAAGTGTCTTACAACTGCCCAGGAGTTTATCAATAAAGACAAGTCAGGATATTTATATAATCATTCAATGCAAAATACAGGTATTTCTAAAAATTAAATACAAGACACAAATTCAAAGTCAATTCTCAAACTAAATACAATATCATGGAATGCTAATTAAATTTATAGATGGTAGTGTAAGAAGACTAAAATTAAAAATCATTAATTTATCAATAATCAAATGATTGCTCCAAAGTGTTTGATAAGTAAAACTCCCTCCCAAAACCACACTAGAGTTCTTTTCAAATTTGTTGGACTGTAACTTTCATGAATTACTGTAAACCACAAAGAAAGATTTTACCTTCCCATTTGATAGAACATTGGAGGACCTCCTGCAGTGCGCCGTTCAAAACCTTCTAAAGTGACAGCCTCTATTCCAAAGCGATGGAAAAGTCCATGGTTCCCATTTGTCATGCCAGTAGCCTGAGTGAAAACCATGGACATCATTGTACGAAAAGAGTATGACCACTGTCGCCATGGATCAGCATAATTTGCATTATCCTGAAAAGAAAGAAGAAGAAAGACGTATTAGTGGCAGTTACATTGTATTCATTGTATTTTTGTTAACTTTAGTTCAATACTCTTTTTTTAAATTATTTTTTATTTTCAAAGATTTAAAAGTTTTAAATGAAATTGTAATATGTCTGAACTTCCTTTGATTAGGAGCAATCAAATAATACATATGTTGAATGTTGTTTATTACAATAACACAATTTAAAAGGTATTTAAATATCAATTTGCAACATCATAAGAAGCACAAAAATTTAGGGTGTAAAGTACTTGCTGCAAACCAGCTCTATCCACTCATTCATGTGATGTGCTAATATGATGATTATTTTTTGACTTTACTGTTAATAAGTGTGCCTTATGTTAAGTACTGTACTGTGTAGTTGTATACCTTATACTGTTACATTATCATACTGTTTATTTAATATTACTATCCCTGAACAGTAAATAAATTTATTACATAAACAAATCAACTGATGAAATTGCCAATAGAATAATTTTGCAATTTACAATGGTTCGAAGCACATCCCTTCATAATCAAAGATGTAGAAGCTACCAACCCTATTTTTAAAGGTATGTCGCACAGACTCCATAGCACATAAGCGATGAACCAAGTTGACTAGATCAAGATTAGGAAGCTGCCCATTTAATCCTTCTACTTTGACATCAATGTGTGAAATTCGGTCGGAACGCAACTCGAGATTCACTGCAGCTTGAATGGCACCAGCTCGAGCAGGCAAATCCCCGTGCCTCAGCACCCCTGGATGACCAGAGGAAGCTTGGTGATAGGCCTCCACCCATGCTTGAGTGCCAAGCTGCTCATGCTCAGTCACTAGGAAGATTAAATCTTTGGCCCAGTACTTTTGACCTATACATAAGAAACAAAAACTTGGCAATAAATCCCATCACATGTAGTTCCAGCAAGGTCAATTGGTTTGAATATTGAAAACATCATCCATGAGTATTTCACTTATTAAACTACAATAGCACTTATTAAACTACATTAGCATTAAACACACATCCATTAAACTACATACAGAGGATTGCTTGTAACTTCCTCAATTTTTGAAAATTCAGAGAGTTCCACAAAAACTGTACCTGCACCTCTTTTATAATTGTACTTTGCACACTTCAAGAAAATATTTGGAGCAGTTTTTGAAAAACTCTTAGTTTGAAAATTGACTTAATTTCATACAAAATAATGGGAAAACTATCCGTACAATTATATGTACGTACTACATTTTCAAAAATTCCCAAATATTTCAATTTTTTGGGTGGTGTGTATGTATATATGTATATGTGTGTGTTTACGTTTGTGTGTGTGTGTATATATAGACACACACACACCCACATCCCCACCCCCATCCACACACCCACACCCACCCACCCTACTCACACCCACCAACACACACCCCCACACCCACGCACGCACACACACACATACAAACCACACACAAAATGGAAATATTTTGGAATTTTTGAAAATTCACGAAAATTAGACCTTGCGATTTTTACAAGCATACTTTGCTCTATCCAATAAAAAAATGTAATTCAAAAATTTCGAGCAATTTTTTAGAAAACTTTGTTGAGGCTTCATAAAAAGTGTCCCTCAAAATCAAAATAACCATTTCAAATTCGAAGGGCTTTAAATCATCCATTGACAATCGATTGGGAAATATCAATTTTCTTGAAAATGCTGCTCACTGTGTAGCCGCTAGTGTTTTTCAGAGATGGTCAGACAGACATTTTGCTGTAAACCAATTTTCCAGTATCCAGAAACCACAAAACACAGATTCTGACCACACACATCAGAGGAAGTTATTTATAATATAAAGGAATAAGAATTGTCCACTTTTATAATTATCCACTTGTCTTATAGCAGAAACTTTGGGTTAAATTATGGTACACGGTACCTCAGAGAAGCGAGGTGGCGAGAGGGGGGTCTCCTAATTATGCTACGCACTCTGAAAGAAATTACGGACAGGCGATTTTCATGTTTTGCCCTACATACACTTTGTCTCCGCCGCAATGTAATGTCAATTTACTTTCAAAGGCAAGTTTTCTCGCTTCGCTCGCGTGGATCCAAGTTACGGTGAGGCTTAGGCCTTCGACCCTCGCAATCACTATAAACATCCTTGAGTTTATCCACCACATAATTACCAATTCACTTTTATAAGAAAGCACTTTTCAAGGAAGCCACAGAATACAAACTGTGCAGTTGCTACCAGAGCAGTGCAAAGTGCCAGTTTAAACCATCTTCTGTAAGTTGTACTGTATGCTAGACTTCAGCCAAACTTTGCTTCGCCAAAAAAAGTCTCAGAACATAGTATTTTCCAACGCAAAGTACACTGGATAAGTCAGAAACCTATCTAACATGGAAACAGAAAGGAATTTTTAGTACCATGGAATTAAAAATTTTGGTTAAGATGGAAAACAAATTGTTTTAAAATTAAACACTGACTTGTAAGTATGATGACATCATAACAAGAGACAAACAGAGTTGTGCGCATCCATTCCCAACCCTCTTCTGAACATCACATTTACCATGCTACTCGTGCAAAAGTCACTGTTTATTTGTAACAGCACTGGCCTTCAGAATCCCATGTGAAGGAAGGAGATACAAAGGGTGATCTTTCTACAATTCTTGTAACGTGCTTCGAGTTCAGTGATTCTAAACATTTTCTCTTGTTCAGTTCAAGAGGCAATGTTAATCAAGTGTTTATGATGTCCAGCAGGAAATTGAAAACAATAACTCTTGGTGAGAAAATTAGACTAAATGAAAAACACAAAGTCACCCTTCTATCAAGGTTTTGATAAAGAAATTTGAAGTTGGGAAAACTCATGAGTATGACACCTTAAACAAAAAGAAAATCAGAAACGAGTGGTTAAAAGAATACTTTTATAGGACATTGCAACAATATTCACGAGAACCTCGCATATATCCGACATCTAAATCATCAAATGAATTCATCTGTTCCCACAAATATTGAAAGCAATTTTTCTTATGCTTTTTATGGAGTTCTTTGTTTCATTAGACATCATAATGCGCTTTTGTCTTACATTTCTTTGTCTCACCAGAGACGTCTTTGTTTCTTTGAAACATAGATTTGAGGTGACATAAACGACTCATACAACCTATTCGATCTTTGAACCATCAAATTTTCTCAATTGACAGTTAATATTGAAAACCTGAATAAGGCAGAAACCTGAACAAGATGGAAGAAAATGTTAGATTCAAATGATTCCGGCTTAGACAGGTTTTACTGTAGTATCTAGGAGTTAAAATAGCAGTTTTCTTTTAAAAAAAATCACAGTTTTTGCTGCACAATGTACATACATATATTCGTTTTTGTAAAGCTGAAACTCTGGCCACAATTCCTTTTATTTCAAACTTTCATAATCCCCATTTCCACAAATCAATACTAGCCAGATATTTTTAAGCTGAAGCCAAATACTTTGCCTACAGTATTTCAATTTAATCATACCCAACTCTGCTTGCAATACATACGTCGAAAGAACTTGGCTAATGATAACAGCAATGCAATTCCAGGGTGAGTAGTTGGATGAGCACTGCTTGGAGGCCTATATGGAGTACTGAGAACCACAGCTTCTGTACTGGCCCCTCGCGGAGCTCGCAAAATTGCATACACATTCTTTCCCCGGTATTGCTGCAAAAAATATTGTAACAATTTTCAATAAACAGACAGAAAAAATAAATAGAATTGAATTAAGAATTTTGGTCCTTACAGATCCAGGGCCCAGTGGGTATTCCAATGTAAAGTTATGGGTGTATGTTTCAAGGCCCATCTGGCCAAATTTAGCCAATAGCCATGAGTAAGGAATAGAATCAGGATAACGTGATCCCTCATCTTTCAATTCTACAAGAAATTTCTTTGCAGAATGATCTTCATCATACTCACTCTCTACTAAACCTGGTAAGAGAGCATTCTCCGAAAAGTAAGTAGCTGTAAAATTAAGGTTGCCATTAATAAAATATTAGGTCATATTTTCATTCTTTATTATTGTTGTTAATATTATTAATAATAATGTATAAAGAGCAAATAATTGCCACCTACCTGCACTGAAATGTTCATGAGCTAGAAGAGCAAAATAAATTACGCCACACAAATACAAAACTATACACAATCTCCCGTGATGGGTTTCTAACATCATGGTCAATTTACCACGGCCTGCACCCGGATCAGTTAAGAGGCCCATTTTTTTGCTGGAAAAAAGTTTACGTAAGTACTAACAATTTTAATCCTGACGTATATAAAATAAAAGTTGAAAATCAATGTTCTGACAAACACTATACAAATATTAAAAAAAGTAAACATGAATACTTAGATTAAGTTCTTTAATATTAAGTTTGAACCTCTCATATATTTAATGGATATCTGAGAATAACTTTCATCACAGTTCAAATTTGAATCTTAAATATAAAATTGATACCTTCTTCGATATTCAGATTAGCGGTTATCCGCTTGATAGCTAATTTAAATTTCGCTATTTTAAAGAGTTAGGCGGAATAAGAACAAATACCAATTTAACTTAAAAAACTCTTAAAAGTTTTAGGCTGGGCCTTTCATGATTCAGGCACAACGGTGCGAAACCAACTTACATCTATAAAACTCAAACGTGCATCTCGTAAACACAGCTGATCCCATGTATATAAGCAAGCAACCAAGCAACTTGCCGGCGGCAAGTTGCCGGAGACACGCCCACGTTGATTTACGTTCCCGGAATTGGACCTCTACTAATAATCACTTCAAAAAAACTATACATATGAATTATAATATTTTAATTAGGAATCACAGCAGGAGGGCTGAATTGCAATGATGAATACAGAGTTCAATGATGAATTGTCAATTGTCGCCATGTCGCACGCATTTGGTTGCATGCATCTGTCATCAATGATCAAATCAAAAGTGATAATACCCCAGTATATCCGGAATCTCAACTTTTTACCAATATGTCATATCTAACTGTATGCTTAAAAGCGAACACAATATTTTTTCCTTCGTATTGTGTCAATCAAGTAACAAGTAAAAGTCCCATTTTCTTTCCATAGTTGAAAGGTTGAAAGCTACCTACATTCGCATGGCTCCTTTCAACTGTCTTTCGAACTGTCAATCGAAATGTAGGCGACGTCATCATTCTGATCTGATTGAATCTACACCTGTGTCTCCGTCTCCCCGCTCACCGCTGCTCATCGTGTGTCTGTTCTTCAGCTGTTGCTTGTGTACTGTCTGGACGTCAGCACATGTACTCATATAGGTCCAAAACTACTCAAGCCTATTGAATATTTGTCGGATCATAGCTGCCCTTTTTCTGTTGTATATTGTATAGTGATTATACCCGAAGATGGGGTTGTCAGATTGGGTTAAAATGCGTCTTTCCGAACTTCTTGACTTCCCAGTGCCACAAGATTTAACTGAATACATAGTATCTATTGAAAACAGCAGAGATTTGGAAGAATATTTAAGAAATTTACTTAATTTTAATCAACCAAGACATCGCCTCTTCTATCAAGAATTACTGCAGCAAAAGCGACATTCAGGAGTTTTTACAAGTTCAACAGGTGATGTGCAAGGTTATAAGAAACCAAATGTAGAAGACGTGTATTTTCATCTAGGCCAAAGTGAGAAAAAGAAAAAAAATAAAGGTCATTCTCTAGATCCAAGTAGTTCCCAAAAAGACCAGACACCGAATCAAAATCAAGAAGAAAAAGAGAAAAAGAAAAAATCCAAATTTGTGAACTTGTATTCGCAAGATGGAAAAATGAGAGACACTGTCATGTTGAAAGGTCGTCACCACTGTGATTGCCAGGCCACAAAACATAAGTTGATAAATAATTGTTTAGAATGTGGCCGAATTGTGTGTGAACAAGAAGGGTCTGGCCCATGTTTCTTTTGTGGCAATGTCGTTTGTACACCAGAAGAAAAGAAACTGATTTCAACTTCTTCCAAAAAAGGCGAAGAATTGTATAAAAAATTGATGTCCCAGGACAAATTTGGTTTAGATGCAGCTCTTAGACAAAGAAATAAGTTGCTAGAATATGATCAAACAAGTGAAAAGAGAACAAAGGTTATTGATGATGAAAGTGATTATTATTCTCTGAATTCTGTTTGGTTGTCACAAAAAGAGAGAGAAACACTTAAAAAGGTGGAAGAACAACAACATGCCAAACGCCATGCATCTAGATTGTCTAAAACTGTCACTTTGGATTTTGCAGGTCGACAAGTTTTGGAAGAATATGATAGTGCAGAAATTACGGATCTAACTGAACTACTTCAAAATCAGTTGGCTGCTAATATGCCATCAGATGCTCAAGGAAGAAACTGGGATTCAACTCTCCATCCCAGAATTACATGTGAGAAGCCAATCTTTCAAGAACAAAAAAATTCAAAAGTATCAGTTGCTGATGGTAGCAAGAATCGTGTGACAGTCAGTCGTGTACAGGACAAAGAATATTTGGAAATGAGTGATGAAGGTTTCTGTTTAAGTATGCATCAGCCATGGGCATCTCTATTAGTAAATGGAATTAAACTGCATGAAGGGCGTGTTTGGTATCATTCACATAGAGGTAGATTGTGGATTGCTGCAACTGCAAAGCCACCTGACTTGCTAGAGGTGAAGCAACTTGAACAAAGCTATAGAGTACTAAAAGGTAAAGATGTTAAATTTCCCTCCCATTATCCCACTAGTTGTCTTTTAGGTTATGTGAGTGTAACAGATTGTCTTCCACAAGAGGAATACAGAAATAGGTTTCCCGATGGTGAAAGTGATAGTCCTTTCGTTTTCATTTGTGAAGATGCTAATGAATTACCCACAAAATTTCCTATTCAGGGTAAGCATAAGATATATAAACTTGAAAAAAAAATTCATGATGCAGCATTGAAATCTGTTGAACGAATTACTAGAATCAAAGCTAATAAAGCAAATTTTGATAGAGGTCTGTGATTTCATGATATAATGTTTGTTTTTGTTAAATACAATAATGCTGAAAATCATTCCTTATGTTCTTTGATGTCTCTGTACCTCACAAACAGTTGAAGGAAAATATACTTCACTTAGTACGCCAGTGTGTCTTTTTTCATTTAATTTACCGATTCTCACCCAGGAGTTTTGTTAGAAAATGAATTGCCAGGACTTAAACCAGTCACTCAATTTGCAAGTTCTGCAGAAAGAATGAAGAGGATGGGAACATATTTCCACACACGTTTTCTTGAGCCTTTTTTCGTTAACTTCACAAGGAGTGGCAGTTAGGTTATTTTCATGGTCTGACTATTACATCAAATCTGTAGCTCATTTTCGATGGGGACAAAATGGTTCCTAATATTGGAGTGAACATTTTTGTTCATTTTGTCAAAATTTTCATTATCATTTATTATTAATTCAACTAATGTTGGTACAAGGAGTGCGAGTAGGGATTGTTGGGCTCAAGAAAGCATGCAACCATACAAGTTTGGAATAAAAATGTATTGTAAATTTAGGGTTGGCCAGCCTCAACTGAAGAAGAAGTTTCACAGTTAACTTGGAACCATAAGAGAAGCAAGGTACTTCCCTGAAAAATGCATTGTAATTTTAAAAATTAATGTTGTTTTGGATTCTCCTTATTTACCTTTATGTCAAAAGCACAGTATAGTACATTGTGCCTTCAGGCTTAGCTACAGTATAACCTATTCTTACTAAAACTGGTGTTCAAATATTGATTTGCTACTCAGATGATCAGAGATGGTTCTATCCCAATGTGATTTCTTGAGTAATTAGTTCTGAATCGCTTGTTTAATACGGAATGTATTTTATTTTATGTGATAATTGCAGGAAATATATGCATTCTATAACTTGGAGATGAAAGGTAGAGAGATCTCCAAACTTAGCATCAATGGTTGAAATCATATTTCTTCAAATAGATATGATTAAAGGGATGGTTTTAATAAAAATAATGTAAACAAGATTATAACTTAAAATAAGTCAACAAAAAAAAATGAGAGTTCAATATAGTTACTGAGTGTCTGAATACACTCTCAAACTTTAATTTTGACAAACGAGTTGCAATTTGATTTTACGAAACATCTCTGTAATAAGAGTGAATAAGTGTAAATTTAATTATTTTGTTCAAATACAAAAATAATAATAAATATTGTATTTTCATTCTAAATATTTGTTGACATTGAAACTAGCACTTTCAAATATACAGGATTGGACAGTTGGCGAAAGGATAATAAGCTTAAGAATTAAACCCTTTCCAGTTATTGTAACTATTATTCAAAGGATACAGCTGAATAAGGTGCTGATAAGTGCCCCAACACCAAATCGATAATTGCAATTCTCATATGAAAGAAAATAAAAAATACCATAGATTCCCAAAATATCAGTCTCATAGGACAATCTGTTACAGAGGTGCAATAATAAACATGTTTTTCATGTTTAATTTTTTTCTCTGGCGCAAATTTCAAATTTTTAAACTGATAAAATTATTTTAATTTTTTTTTCACTATCACCCACATTGTTTAAAACTATGGAAAAAAATTGTTATAGAATGTTAAGACGCATTCTAGGGGAAGTACTGTTATGTTATTACATAGAAAATCAATTTTGAATTTTTTTCTATTTGAATTTGGTGTCAAAATTGGTTGACAAAAATACTTTCAAATTCACCCATTTTCTCCAGTCTCTTCAATTTTTTTTTCAGCCTGATACACGGTTTAGAAGCTGAGAAAAATATAAAACGTGAAAAATACATTTCTCTTCGTATCTCTGCAAAAGTTTGCCCTGGGTAGTAGTTGTTTTTGGGAATCTGTGGCTTTTTTTTTTTCCTCTTTCATACAAGCATCACAATTATCTGTTTGGTCAGGGAGCACTTTTTACCGCCTTATTCTTTATGTGCCTATAAGTGACGATGTATCAGAAGAATTTTATGATCAGATTGAAGAAACCATACACAAAATAGGGAGGATAGGTCTTGTGACAATTATAGGTGACTGGAATGCTGGAGTGGAACAAGAGACACAAAATATATAACAGGGCAATTTGGATTGGATAGCGGAAACAAGGGAAGTAGTTTAATTGAATTCTGTGCTGGAAACAAATTATTTGAAGCAAATACAATTCACATAAAACACTGGAAATATTTGTACGCATGGACACCTGCCATTCCCAGATGGCTTACATGCAAACCAAAGTGATTATATCTTGGGAAATTGTAGATGGAAGTGCTCTGTTCAGAATGTTACCACAATACCTGAAGAAGACTGATCACACCATAAATGGGATGTAATATCACAGTCAGACTAAGTAACAAAGACCAAAACAAAATCTAAAGCGAAGTATGAAGTGAAAAACATTTCAGATACATAAAAAGGATTCATTTCAAGGGGAGCAAGTGAAATAAGTGTACAAACAAATCCATAAGCACTGGGAATCTATTTAAGAAACAGTCTTTGAAGAGGGACTAGCACATAAAAATGGAGCAAATCAAGCCGGTTATCAGCTAAAACCATCAAAATTGCAGGAGTTAGGGTCATTCCACGTCCAATCGACGCAGAATAGACATTTTCAGCCCTCACCCCCTCCGATTTTAATGAAACTTGGTACACAGATTCTTTATGATACATGAACTATCTCTGTAAACTTGTAGAACGGTAATGTAGGTTTGTATTTTACATCACTTAGAAAATCGAAAAAATGTGTGGATTTCGATGCGCAAGCTATCATTTGAATCGCAATATCTTTCATGCTATCAAACATAGAACAAATATATTAATCTCATTTAAAAGCTGACGTATTATTCCATATAAAAACATGAATTATTAATTTATATAATTATAGTCTTACCACTGAACTGATGAATTCTTCTCTAAAAATTTACAAAAAATGCGTTTTTAAATTTTTAAAAAAATGTTTAAGTGCAATATGAATTTCCTTATTGATGAAAATGTGAATATGGGATGGCAACGCAGCAAGAAGTTATGATCCGAAATTCTTCTCCATGCGCCCGCGAAGGCGCTTGCTGGCTATCATGAACGGAAGCACTGTTTCGGGCGACCGAGTTGATCCGCCCTGCTGGGTCCCGGGGGGCAAATGTTGATGTTTTGATCACTCTCGGGACAAAGCAACTGCGATGGCAACTACTAAAAATATATTTCGTCTTCTTATACATGTATCAGAAAGCCTCTTTTGGAAGCTTTAAAATAACATATGAACTTTTTTTTTATCTTTGAAAACGACTGTAATAATGTTTGTTTGGTAACGCGCGCAGTTATTTCGCGAATCTTCCGAATTTCAAATCATTATAAATGGGAAACTATATTTGCTACAGCCTTCATAAGAGGTCATTTTATATATTTTAAAAGGTACTTCACAAACACTAAGTTTGGGAAAATCTAACCCTTGATTTGAGGTGGAATGACCCGATAAGAAGAGCAATCGCCTCATTCTCACTCCAGACAAGATATTGTTAAAGAATATACTCAACAACTGTGTGAAAGATATAATATTAGTAAACATTTCATTGTAAGAAGCTGTGAAGAAGAACCTACATAAGTAGAAAAAAGTAATGTCGGCACTTAAACAGTAAAAGAATGGTAAATCTCTTGGGCCAGACGTACCCACCAAACTGATTGCTTTAGAAAGGCACATACTTGATCTTACTAGTTTGTTTTCAAATCTCTTGCGATAGGTTTTGGTTTTGTCCCACACTCACCCCAGATGCCGTCTATCGCCGACCTAATTACATTTCTTTCACATTTTCTCAATTTTTCGGTCCCCTAATGGCAGTAACGTTTAGAATATTATAGAAGAGTAAAACCTCGTCCCATATTGAAATTTTCGTTGGAAAATTGGAAGACGTTTTTGAGAAAATGTTTGAGCATTTCTGGAAATGCGAATTTGAATCTGATTTCCCCCTAAATTTTAAATTTTGTGAAAATTCATAAAAAATACTTAAAATAATTGTACTCCATTAATGTATACAAATTGCGAGCATTAATGTATATATTATAAATATAATCGGCGAGAGATATATTTCAAACAAATTACATTGTTCATTAGATCGCTGGTGAGGTAGATACCTTATAATATTTAAGTATGTTAAATAAAACATGTCTGGAATCAACAATTTATTTTGCTAATGATCGTTTCGATTGCGTAGCGATCATCCTCAGAGCTAAGATTAGAATTATCGAAATAAAATTATACTAATACATAAACAATTAGGGATAAGTTAATACAAAATATTATTTACAAAATATAGACATTGCATGCCAGATGCGTAAGCAAGCTGGGTCGTAAATACTACCTTGCAGCTTCCGGGCCGAAAACAAAGTTCTGCGGTTTTTGAGAGTGTCTTGTTTAAGAACAGAGCCGGTCGGCATTCGGTGGGGGCGGAAAGAAGGGTGGAATGCGGGCGAAGGGTCGTAAGACGCGGAGGTGTCGGTGGAGGCGTGAGGAGGTGTCGGGGGAGCGAAAGCGAGTGGAGTTAGGGGTGTACACCTTGTGCTAATTTTAGCAGAAGTGGAGAGAGTTCAGGAATTTGTCTTCACCGACAAGATGTGTGGTTGAGTACATAGGATGAGTACCATTCTTTGTAAGAAATCATTTATTCTATATAAACAAAAATATATTTCCAAACAAATAAATCACAAGGTTCTTCGTCCAGATTTAAATGCTGACTCTTGACGTGAAAGGGGGGCATGGTCGTGGCCATGCGTCACGGGTGCGTCAAAGGCTGAAACCGTGTCGGGGCAGGGAGTATAAAACGCGAGTATATATGCTACGATATAATGAGAGTAAATATCTTTCTACCATTGACAACGCGGCGACCTGGTGGCAGCGCGGGTGCGTGGCATCCGTTTGTCACGGACGCGAATCGATGGGGCAGGCGCGGCCTAGCGCCTTCGAAGCCTTCATCAGAAGGCTAAGCCGAGGCGCCGCGCATAGAGGAGAGATTACCTCTACTCTACGCCTGCGCTCTGGTCAGTTCCTGGTATTTACTTGCACTTTACGTTTCTCCATATCTGGCTCGCTTATATTATTTTCTTGGCCTCGCTATTTATTGTGATTTTGAACCTGGTAAACTGTGACTTGCACTATTGTTCTTTTATTATTCTTTTGGATTTCGGTTAATTGTATTTTCTTTAAAAATGAAGAGATAACGCTACCAACACAGAATGGTAAATAACTACATACATATTTAGTAAGTCACGGTAAAAGAGAACTTCCTTAAAATTACTTACCTTCCAATTCCCAAAAAAAAAAGAAAAACAAATACCAAGTTCCAATATCCACAAGAAAATCCGAAAGATTGCTAAATTACCAAAATTCAAGAATCTAGATTTAGATTGATTTAGTAAAAAAAAGTAAAAAATTGTATATGTGACGAAGATGATCTGCGCAACGTTTTCTTCAGTTCCAGAATCATTTCCCATCGTTTTAACTATAAATAAATAAAAATAAATTTTAAAGAAATACGGGATTAGTAATACTTGAAAAAACTAGAAAATCAATGAAACGTAAAATAAAGCAGGGTCAAATTCTAATATCCACGAGAAAAATCCGAAAGAAAGCGAAATCACCAAAAATCAAGAATCAGTAAAATGTAAAATAAAGCAGGGTCAAAATATATAGGGCGGAATATAAAACAACTCTGCAGAAACCTGATGGAAACGTAAATGGCGCGTCGTCGAAGTTTGGCGTTGGCGGGAACTCGGTGTCCGAGGTGCGCATGCGCGGATTTCTAGTTTGAGGGAGAGTGCACGAACTGATTCGGACTGGTTTCAAACTAATTAGCAACCCTGCTGGAACGCCCAACTCCCAGTCACAATCCCTGACGGCTGCTGCTGGAACACCCAATTTTAGACTGCGCATGCACGAACTAGTTCGGGAGTGTTTCGGAATGCTGCTGGAACAAACCTACTGGCTGCTGCTGCTGCTGGAACGGCAATTACTAGACTGCGCATGTACGGAGTAGTTCGGGAGTGTTTCGGACTGTTGCTGGAACAAACCTAAAATGTGTTGGACGCATTCATAAGTTCGATTCGAGGCGCTGTCAGGCAATTCCCAGCACCATTTCTGCAGTCTAACGTGCAGTAAAAACGACGAAATTCGTAACGAGACGTTTAATTTCATCTGGACAGAGATAACCATGGCAATCTCTGGATTCTTTGTCTAAAGTAACAATCTTTGTCAATTGTGTGTCTTTTTTTCGAGAACACTCTCATATGAGGAAAATTATTGATAGACGATGTTCGTTGCAGTTTCTGCTAATGCTCTCCCAACGTATCTAACGAATATTTCACAGACATTTCTGATTTTTATATTTATGCTAAGGCATTCGTGATGACGCATCTTTGAGAACGTAGGTAAATTACAGTCAGTATCTTCAACAAGTCCTGCAACTGTTTGTAATTGTGAACGTTCCGTGAAAAGTATGTAGCTATTCAAATCAAGAATGTCTCGGGTTTAGATAGTACTTCTCTCTTATGAATATTTCATAGCACAATGCATCTTACATCTAAAAACGCGTCTCGCTATACTTACTTTTCATCTGCTTTGCGTGTGTTATGCAAAAACTATTCGTTATTCTTTGTTATTGGCGGGATTCGTGTAAGGGATAAATTTGTGAACAGTACTTCATAATATAAATTAGTGTCATCATTACAATTCTAGTATAAATACAATAAGTTGGACGTGCGCCTCAAAAGCTGATCTGACGCAAAAACGAGCAGGTGTCTGCCGCCAGAGTAAGTAGCAAAATCGCTCTCCCCCACTCCAGCTGTTAAGTCGACAGAAGTTTTATATTTAGAATCCACTTTTTCCTTACCAGGGCCCGACAATAAGAGTTTTTGTGGCGGTAATTCGCCGTTTTCCGGCGCACGATTACAATACTTTCTCTTCTTACTTAAGCTATTCTAATAATAAGTGCTGTTCTAACTTAAACTTGTTTAATTAAAAAATTAGGCCGGAAAGAGCCAATTTTTTCTCAAAATTTATCAAAAAATTATATTTATGGAGGCATATATACTTTCAAAATTTAATTTAGTTTCAGAAAATGACATTATATGTCCACATTCAAATCATAAATATGCTTCTTAGAGGCGTTTTTTTTCTTTCTTTTTTTCGAAACTCGTGATATTCAAAGATCTCGAAAATTATTATCAACTTTAATTTTACACTACCACCATAGGCTGCCTTGGGCAACAATGCAGCGATGAATGCTTGAGAAGTTCGTTGTTGAACGGCGACAATATAAGTGGGTTTTATTTACTTCTCTGAATTCCGTCTCATTGCTGAGACATGATTTAGCTGTATGTACCAAGAAGAAAAAAAATCCTCGTCGTCACTATCACAGCTATCAATTGTATTAAGCCTACTGTTATTATAAGCTGTAGACTTACAGGGACGAAAAAATGTAGAAATAGGCAGGCAAAATACGCATTTAAAAACGTAAAATATCCATTTAAATGGGCACTATAAGTTTTTCTTATCCTTATTTATGTACTTGTGTAGAAAGTTTTTGAAGGAAACGTAATATAATTATATTCATGGAATGTCTGCTTTCATCATTATCCAAATTTGGACAAAGAGGCTGAATCGTATTAGCTACTTTTTAGCATTTCATTACATGCCTGTTGATACTTAAATGCTATACATACAATATTTTCTCTCACCTTTAATTTAAACATGATTGAAAACATATGATTTGTTTCAATCACCACGCATAACACAAATGTAACTAGAGGAGTTTCGACGGCATATACTTTCTCGCATTATTTCTGAAAAATTCAAAATTTGCAATTTTCAAAAATTCAGAATTCAACGAAAATTAGACCTGCGCCATTCTTTTAAGCGCCTCTTGTGGGGAAAATTGAAGAACATTGTAGCGTTTTTTGATAATCTTTCTTATATATCTTTCGAAAGAAATTACGCAAAAAACACTCGGTATTTTAATTGTACATCACCTTTCTTCCATCACCAACTACAAAATTAAAGATAGAAATTTTTCATTCGCATAAAATTTGTTATTCATAATTATTTCTTTTATTAAGATCACGCACATTTTTGAAAATTTTAATAGTTTTGGCGCAATATCTGCACTTTAAAAAAATAAAAAACAAGCCTTTATTTAAAACGGCTCCAAATTTTGTCTTTAAACTTTTGTTAGGAATAGTGTTAAATGTACTCTATAATTTGACATAAACACCAGATTGCTCTATTATGTTGTTGTTTTTTAAATTACACAAACTTTTTTTTAAGATATCTCACGCCGTTAATAAGCACATTTCCACCAATTTGTAGACACTACTGTATTTGTGAGTTAACGTGCGTTAAATGACTTCTAATAGTTTTTCTTAAACTCAAAAGGAGCTTAAAATTTGTACTTACAGAATCGCTTAAGCGACATTTTCATAAAAACGGCTCAAAATTATTCAAAGAAAATTGCCATTTAGGTCGATGTTTAACTGTTGTTTAATATTCTTAAAATAATATTTTCGTTCTATTATTAGGAAACTGTAAAATAAAGTATTAAAAAAAGAAATGTATTTTGGGCTGTGATAGATGGCAGTTGGCAAGAGTATGTGGCAAGTTCGTATAGCTAGAGGAGACCAAAGGAAATAGAAAACTAAAACGAATAATAATAATAATAATAATAATAATAATAATAATAATAATAATAATAATAATAATAGTCTTTGCCATTCCGTAGCATTTCTAGATACTCTAATTACGATGCAAGGGTAAGAACGTAGAAAAATCTCTATCTTTAGAATTGGGGTTGTAGAAAGACACCAAGAAATTTGACACTTCGCATTTTTCGAAAAATCAGGGATGTCAGTGAAAATAATACTTGCGCCATTCTTTTAGACGTCATTTAAGCTATTCGGAGTCAACGTTTAATAAAAAAAATGGTGACTATTTTGAGGAAATTTTGAAAATGTTGAGGCTTCATGAAAAGTACTCATAAAATAAAAAGATATATTTTAATTTCGCAGGACCTTCAGTTAAAAAACATAGGGACCGGGAATATCAGTTTAGGAGAAAATCGACTGAGTGCTTCTGGCGCTAGTGTTGTCCCCAGAAAGACTTACTACCTCTATGCAGAAAGACGATTTGCCGTCAATGGATTTTTCAGTACCAAGGATCCACAAAACATGGGCGCTGACCCCACGTGTTAGAACTTACTACATACATTCTTCACGACTTTTTCTTTACCGCGGCCTGGCAATAAGGGTTGTTTTTTTCTGTCGAATAATCGCCAATTCGGGCGCGTGATTGTAATGCCTTCTTAATGTGAAGGGCAAGAAAATTTGTAGAGCGAGTATTTGGTTTAGTAGTAATAATAATATTAATAATAATAATAGACGGATCGTACATATACACATTCTTCAAGGGAATTTTCCCAATGTTGCGTTCAGCCACTTATATTTTAATCAGCCGGGTCCTTCGTGTCAAGTCTTAGACAAAAAAGTTGCTGCTAACCATTAGTACCAACCTTTGCCAGTTGTTGTCCTGTTCCATGTTGCCATTGCCGTCATTTCACAATTCCACACAACTGCACTTCTGATTCCATGCGTGATTAATTTTTGGGAGTTTCTTCTGCATTTTATGCTTTTCTCGAAGCAATTAAATACAGATCGCTTTTCTAAATTGAAAATCCTTGATAGTAATAGACAGGTAAAGTTGAGTTTACTCCGTCATATGTAACTTAATTCTAACGAAGTGCACGCAGACTAACATATGTCGACATAACCTTAAATTACATTTTTTGCAGGTCGTATCAAAATGCCGCTGTCTTGCAGATTTTATAAAGAAAAATATCCAGAAGTGGATGATGTAGTAATGGTCAATGTACGAAGTATTGCTGAGATGGGCGCATACGTCCATCTTTTAGAATACAACAATATAGAAGGCATGATTCTATTATCGGAGCTTTCAAGAAGACGTATCAGATCAATTAACAAGTTGATTAGGGTCGGAAAAACTGAACCCGTTGTAGTTATTCGAGTCGATAAGGAGAAAGGTAACTTTCTACTTCTCACTCCGTATTCATGTGATTGGTTGCAAGTGTAAATGAAATTTTTGTCTGGTTTGTTTTTATAAGGTTACATTGATTTGAGTAAGCGAAGAGTGTCAGCAGAAGATGTGGAAAAATGTACAGAACGTTTTGCCAAGGCTAAAGCTGTTAATTCAATCCTTCGTCATGTAGCTGAACTTCTAAATTATGAAACTGATGAACAATTAGAGGAGCTTTACCAAAAGACTGCTTGGCCATTTGAAGAGAAACTGAAGAAGAAGGCATCAGCTTACGACTTCTTCAAACAAGCTGTTTTGTAAGAATTACAAACATTTATTCTTTGTTCTATTTATACAAATTGTACATTCTAAATATACACTAGCAAACAATATTCAGATTTGCTACAATATCCTACTTCTCATAGTGCACTTACGGGTGTTTTACAGCTTCTCGCTCAGATTTTCTGTGCTTACTAATACGTTTCCTGTCTGATGTATGACGCTTGCGGGATCTGAAAGGAAAAAGGTTGAGGATATTACTAGGTTTGGATATATCTGGATCCATATATGACTTTATTCTTAAAAACTAAAATCTTAAAAACTCTGCTTCAGTATAGTTAATCATTTTCTCAAAATAGTTATGAATTTGTGTAAATCATAATTCTAGTGAGGTAATATTTTGCTCTTTAATATCCTGTTACAATTTTTTTCACCAAAATTTGAAATTCAGTTTTCAACAAATACATTGTTCAATATGTCTATAATTAATTTAATTGCATCAAAAATTAAATGCAATTTCATATGAATGAACTCATTCATGGATCATTACCCTTGCAATGCTGTTTTCTGAGATGTTCCAGAGCATGAAATTATCACTGCATCTAAGAATTCAGGCTAAGGGGATGTTTCTGATGAGAAGGAAGAAGTTTTAGAACTTTCTTTCACCATTCTCAATTGTCAGAAGTATCCCCTCTAGTCTGCCCAAAACATTCAAGTGACATTTTGTTCTGAAACATAAATTTGTGTTTTTAAAACACATTCATCTAAAGTACCTATAAAATTACATTGAAAGATTGGCAAAACTAAATTGCTATATTTTAGCAACATTTAATATAAATTTGAACAAATTATACATTAAATTTAATGTAAATGTATTCTTGTTATTAGAAATTTTATGTAGCCATTGCAAGAATAAAAGCTTGAAATTTAATTACTAGAAGCCTTTGAAAAACAACTTGGCTCTAGTAATTTCCCAGATTTTCTTGCAAAGGAGAAGAAATTCTGTCTTGAAGTGTTGTCTTGTTACTGCATTAGTATGATTAGTTTCGAAAATAAAAACTATTTTTCCTATGTTAAATAATAACTAATGCCATTTGACAAATTGAAGTTATGTACAACTTTGTATTTTAATTTAGAGACCCAAGCATTCTCGGCGATTGTGGTTTGGACGATGAAGCAAAAGAAGTTCTTCTCAACAACATTAAACGAAAATTAACATCACAAGCTGTTAAAATACGAGCTGACATTGAAGTAGCATGCTATGGGTATGAAGGAATTGATGCTGTCAAAACTGCTTTGAAAAAAGGCTTGGCTTGTTCCACAGAAGAACTGCCTATTAAAATAAATCTCATTGCACCCCCATTATATGGTATGTCATTAATGAATACATATAAAATTAAATTAGAAAGAATAGAATTCAATACTTTTTCTCTCCCTAGTAATGACAACATCAACACCAGAAAAGCAAGATGGATTAAAAGCACTGCAGATAGCTATAGAGAAAATAGAAGCATCAATAACGTCTCTGGGAGGGGTATTTCAAATTCAGATGGCTGTAAGTAAAAGCTTAATTTTGAAGATTGAAAGTTATCGTAAGATGTATTATTGAATTTGTAGTATTTTATCCTATTATTTGCGGTTTTGTGTATTTGCAGCCAAAAGTTGTTACTGCCACAGATGAGGCAGAATTGGCCAGACAAATGGAGAAAGCAGAAGCTGAGAATGCTGAAGTTGCAGGTGATGATGACGAGGAAGAAATTGAAGGCCAAGTGTTCAGCGGTGGAGAAGAAGGAGCAGTTGATGGTGCTGATGAACAAGAAGATGGAGAAGAATAATTTATGTGTTAACATATTGGATTATGTTTGATATTGAATATATTTGGAACATTGTATTATCTGAAGACTGGTAAGATAAAGCAAAAGATAATATGCTGCTATTTTGTGGTTCCATTGTATTAGCTTGACATTTTTAAGAATAATTATAATACATAAAAGGCCATTTGGTTTTCTTCATTCTTAATAACATCCGTATTGAGAAAACTGGTCTTCTCTCTTTGCAGAACCAATATCTAACGAACTGAATATATTAGAGAGAGCTCAATGTACAAAGAAAATTTCTGGGAAACTTCTTAGCAACATTACAAGAAACAAGAATTCAGGTGTTACATGACAATTTTACATTAATCAATAAAAGCCTCTTCTTTTTTTCTTCAAATATTTGCAATGAATTGTTTTAACTATGTTGTATGAGTTTCTTTCTTCAATCAACACTAATCAAGCTTTTGTGATTTCTGCACCTAACTCTTCAGTTTCACATTGGTATTTGGTGAAAATTCATATAGATTTTGATAGCACATCAGGAGATAAGCACATTCTGTTTTTCACAAATTTTTCTAAATCCAAAGTGTCGAATACTTCCAGATTATAACACATAGTATGAATGACTTACATATAATCAAATAGTTTGATGATAATAACCAAATATTAAAAAATCAAACTATATTTTAACAAATATTTCCAGATTCATTTGAGGTACATATTACACATCCAAAAAAGAAATCAAATATTCTTTATTCAACACTAAAATTCATTTCAATTTTGAAATAAAGTAACATAAACTACTTTTTTTAGCAGCAAAGAATTTTCAATAAACCAAGGATACTTGTCGTTAAAGTACAGGAATTAAATCTCTGAATTTGAGTCTACTAAATCACATTCAGGAGCCAGCTCAATTGTGTTGTATTTTAGTTCTCTTCTAGTTATCCATAAAATCTGCCTTGAATGGTGTGTTCTTGAGTTTGGTCATTACAATCATAACCTACTCTTAATTCCATTCAACATAATTATATCTATGAAAATATTGTACTTGAAACTTGAAAGCCTACTTTGATTGAATTTTAATTTAGTCAATTTAAAAACTAATTTTCTGAGTAACAGTTTAGTTACTTGTGTTCATATTTCATAAAAATAGAGTCAATTATATTAGCAAGTGAATAAAAAAGAATTTTAAAGACAGCTACTCTCGGCAAGTATCTATAATCATATTGTATATAAGGAATTAGAGGAGAATAATACGAGAGACAACAGAGTCACAAATGAAATATAGAATGGTTCAGAAGGAGAAAGTGAAAATGAGAACGCCAATTGTGCAGCAATGCACAAATAGAAGAGATTGAATGCAGCAGAAATCGTATTGCTACGCCCAGGATACTTATTCAATAGGAATACAGAGACCTAGTAGTTGACTTAATAACAATTTTTTTCTTTCTTCGAACTATGAGCAGATTGTGGATTTTTTGAGAGGATTTTCTTAGATTTCAAATCAATGTGCACTGAATTACATTCCAAATTCTTCTGACTGAGATTATGGTTAGCACAAATGGTTAAGTGTTGGAGACCTTATGTTTGAATTCTGGCTTCTTTAATATTTTTGTTCTTGAACATTGAAATGTTGTAGTACACAGAATTAAATGTCAAAAAATATTTTCTTTTAAATTTTCAAAAAATTAAAGATACCTTGTATTTTTTTCCCTGAATCTTCAAAATTCCATTGGTTACGAGTTTCTCATTATCAGTAACACAAGAAAGCATGTACTGTCCGAGTACAACTCATTTTTCCTGTAACATAATTATGTGTAAGACATCCACTTGAGCACGTGAATTACAAGTAATTTATTTTAATGAGATTGTTTTTCATCCATAAAATGTGACATTAAAAATCAAGGCTGAAAATATTGCCTGAAGAAATAACAAAACATTACAACAAAAAGCATTTAGAAAATGAAACAAAATTTTGTCTATAATCAAAATGTTGGCTCTTTGTGTATTCAGAACAATTTTAGCATGAAATGTATTAATATATCTACACAAATAGTCTTAAATGGGGACAATCAATTTATCACTATAATTCCAAAGAAAATGTTGAAACACATGGAAGTACCAGAAGATAACAGACTATCAAAACTAGTGCTGAATATATTAACCTGGGGAAGAAGAGAGCGAGGAAGTCTAAGAAAAGTTAAGTCAACAGGAATCCCTGGGTGAACCAGGTCACTGCACAGGAGTCAGGTCATACCCCTTCCCCGCAATTAATTCTCTGGTGGAGGTAGTGGTGGCAGCATTGATGATCATTCCATAATTATCACAATGCTCAGAATGGGTACACTAATATGTTAATAGTGTGTTGTAAGAATAATTCAGCACATTCTCAGCTTTGAATTAACACTACTTAACAATTATTCTCATAACGCCAATAATAAAGTTATCATGATCTTCATATTCAGCAGAACGTTATATTGAAGAGAAGAGTTAAACTTTTTCAAAGAAAATTGGAATAAATTTCTTCTAAACAAAATATCTATGTAATTCCCTGGAAGCTCAACAGCGAAAACATAACTTCAAACTTGAGATTGACTACAAGAAAATCTTGAATCTGTTCACAGATAAAATATCTCTAACAGTTTTTGAAGAGAGCAAAAGGTTTTTATTTGAGACGCAAAGATTGAGGCAAACTGCAATAACAGTCACTCCAAGAAAGTTAAATGCTTATAAATTGTACTGCTCATTATTACGTCAGAGTTTTCTCATACCAATACTGATGAGTTGTTTACCAATAGGTGCACAAGTATAAAATCCAACTTTTATGCCATACCAAATATAAACAAGTAGAATAAAATTAAAAGGTTCTCCATTTAATTGAAAATAACACAAACTAACCCTGATCCTGAAGTCCCTCAACTAATGTAATAATATTTCAATGAAAAATTAATGAGGATATAGTTTCGAAAATACTCATGGAACAATTTTAACACTACAATTGCAACACCACATTTAAATCTTGCCATATTAATTAAGTAACAATGAATTAAACAAAAATGAATGTCTTAAATTGAAATTTCTATTGATATAGTTACCGTTTATAAGACACTTCTGTCATATTAGTATCTGTTACTTCTCGCAGTGCCTAATCTCTGTTTAATCAGAGATAGCAAATGTAGTAACTAAGATAAAAGTTAAATTGATAATTGAGCAGTTGCATTTATTCACTAGATTATCAACTGATTGTTAAGCACACAACAACACAAACTACATATTTTCTTTTCTTTTTTTGCAAACTCAAAGAATGAATTCAATATTATGAACTCTTCATGAAGACAAAATCTCCACCTGAGGTCTCAAGTACAAAGTGGAGCTGCATTTTGCAATTCGCAACATCACATTCCTCATGATTAAGTCAAAGGGGAAATTTGAGTAAGTAAGGAACAAGCAGGATCTTCACAAAAACAACAAACATATATTTACTCAGAACATATGTTCATAAATTTTCAAATATTTAATATCTGCAAATTTACAATTATACTGCAAGGCATCATTCATATCACATGTTCTCTTGGCAGTTCTTTACATTGGTTGAAGTATTTCTGTATATACTCCCTTCTCATAACACCCCTCCTATCATTTAAAACTTTTGGTTCAATACTCTGACACCTGTTGTTATTTCTGTTATTTTTTACAAATAAGCTTTTTCTCAAAATAACAACCTAATTTAGAAAATTGACCACAAGCTGAGAAGTGCTCACGAAGGAAACATTTATTTACACTTTATAAAAAAATAGACAACTATTCACATGACAGCAGATGAAGTTAAACACACATGCAGACACACACTAATGAATCTTGTTCATTTCTTATAACAACCAGCACTCCCAATTACATGTATCGTACAATGACTTGAACAATTTCTTTATATGGGTCATTGTTTCTAACCAGCAGCCAATTACTCAGAAGAGTGTAACACACATTATTAGCAATTAGCATACCACTTTAATTGACAAAGATGTCATCTTGAATATTTTCCATCATGAAGGATAGGCTCCACATCTACATCTTTGGTTCAATCTGCAGAGGTCAAACACGTCATATATGACACATCACATAAGATAGATATATATATATCAATATTATTGGGGGAAGATTTTATCTCACCATGCACTCTTTTGTTCTTTAAAATTTGCAATACAATGCCCATTGTTTGTGTTCAAGTCTTAGTAGAAGAAGATATAGAAAATATTACAAATCATCAAACTCTCAAAAGCAAAACTAACAAAGCAAATAAAAGTGCACTACAATTATGAGATTTATGTAATACCACTGTATGAGTAAGTTCAATGCTTGAGAAATCAATCAAATGTTAAATTAAGCCCATGAAATTTTACTGCACTTAGAAGTTAGATTGCATATATGTACATAACTTTTTGATGATAGAATATTTCACACAACCCAAAATTAATAACAGAAATAAGTTCAAAGAACTAAATTTCTAGGAACTACATAATTTATAATTTATTTACAGAAAATAATTGATAACTAAATTTATGTAGCTGAGTTTACTAGTTTAAGTGAAATTAAAGCAGCGTATTATTATGTGCAAATTTGTAGATGATAAGTTCTTCTACATTTTTTTCGGTGACTTGACTTCCAAACATCCATCCTAATCTCAAATATCCCTCCCTAAACACTGGAACTCAGACAATCTGCAATATTCATAATTTCTTATTCTATAGTGTGGCAAAATATTATTCATTTTTCAATGACTCCATAGATCAATGACAATCGTGAATTTCAACAATCCAAACCATGTATTCACTTTTCTTAAAAAAGAATTGCTTCCATCAAAATCAATATCACCCTTTCCTGTCAAAGACACGATGGGGGGGTATTTTTGACAAGTAGAATGGAGTAGAAGTTTGATATATTGAATCAATATTTCAAGTGAACATGTCTCCCATCTTAAGGCAATCATTATTTGCAACCAAGAACTACACTCCCATATTTTTCTTCAGGCAATTTTAAAATATATGCACTGTGAATGTTTAATGCAATCCACACATCCTACCTCAAGAGATGGTAGTTCTTTAATTGTTTCTAAAATCACAATTCTATGACATATAATTGCATACATTAGTGTAGAGGTCCGTAATCAGAAGCATACATTCACAAAATAGGGCCATATCTCCATCATGGAAAGTGGAGATCATTTGAGATTAACTCAGAAAATAAAAGGAATGAAATTCAAAAGAAAATACTAGCAATATCCGTTCTGTAGTAAAAATGTAACCATGATGTAATTTTTAATTCAGTTCAATTATTATTCATATTTATTGTCTGGGGTGATCAATTACTATGAGATTTAATTTTTAATTTTTATTGTATTGCAAGAAAGAATTACAATAATTCTTTATTGGATTGCAAGCAAGAATTCTAATAGAATATATGTTTTAGAACCCTTCATGCCAAAAAGGAGATTTTACCCCTGAAAACGCATCTGCAGGTTGGACTACGGAAGCCTTTTGGAAATCATTTGGAGTTTTTTATGTCTGCTTTTACTACGAAGGATTTTGGACTAATTGATAGAAATATAGGTAAAAAAAGTGTATATATAATAATTGTAGAATAATAATCTATCAAGATTACTGTAAAAAAAACAACAATAGAAACAGGCTGTAAAGCCCAATTTCAGGTCAGTTCATGATGATCAAGTTGATGATGATGATAGTCATAATAATAATAATCATTATAATCATATAGCATTTTTTATTATGTATCTACTTATTGTGTTTTTTTAAAATTTGTATGATGATTCAATTCCTTAATTTGGAATCTTCTTCCGATAATTCAGTGTCCATAAGAGAGAGAAAGAGTCAACTTATAAATAGTATCAAATCAATCAAGATACAGATATCTTGATTTTTTCAAAGCAAGTTACATGATGATTTTCAAAATTCAGAACTCAACCTATCAAATCACAGGATCTACAGACAAGATAAAGGTTTTGAAACTAGCCATCGTCGTAGAGGTGGTAGAGTATTGATAACTGTACACAAGATGTTCTCAAGTGTAGTAATTGACATTTTAAACACCAGAGCTGAATAATTATTTGATACACATAAATAAAATTTTATAATAGATTCAGTTTACTTTCCTCCGAAATCTTCATTTCATGCATATTTACAATTTGCCAAAAAATTAGAACATCTGTTTGAATTGTACCCATTATCAATTTTTTTTATCACTTGTGATTTTTATTTGTCATATACTGCTTGGAAAAATGAAGACTTCGATGTGAATTACATATACATGAGTCTTCACAGATGGATATTCAATGTAGTAGACTTCTTCAAAACACAGTGAATTATTTAAACTTAAACGAAAAAAATGGAATGAGAAATAATTTCAATAAAATACTTGACCTAGTATTTGTTTGGTCCTTAGGTTCTTAAACTAAATAGTTTTACCTTGTGATAGTTACCACCATGCCATAGATATTTTGTTTAAAGTAGGTGGTGGTTTTCCAACACTTGATGATGAAATTAAATTAGATTTTAATCGAGGATTATTGTGCAATAAACAATGTACTATTACACTTCGACTGGTTATATTTTTTTGAAAATTATACATTAGACTTACGAGTTGAATATTTTCATGAAATACTATATAATTTGATCAATAAATATGTTCCTAGACATCATTTAAATATTCTGTTTGGTATTCTGATGAACTAAGAGGCCTATTGAATGATAAGTGAGAGGCCCATAAGAAATGAACTATGGATAAACAGTTTTAGCAGAAATTTTCAGATATTTGTAGATTATGCAACTAAAAGATGGGGCAAATTATTCCTCTTACTTGGTTAATTTTGAAAACTCCATTAAATATAATAAAAAATCTTATTGGAAATGAACAAATTTTAAAAGAGGCACATCTCAAATACCAAATTTTATGTATTTGAATGATAAAAGTGAAAGTTCAGGTCATGAAATAGTAGATTTATTTGCTGGCTATTTCCAATTTGTAATATATTATAATGTATGTGAGTAAAAAGTTCCTGATGATTATAATGATACTCTGATGAATTGTATTCATATGATATTTTTCAAATGGATGTAATGTCAGCTATTAAAAAGCGAAATGAAATGGGAGACCCAGGCCTTGATGGAATTCCATTATTTATCAAATATTGTGTAGTAAACTTAACAAAGATATTACATTATTTGTTCTTCAAATCCTTACGAAGGTTTACTACCAGGATCTATAATCTAATAATTTATAACTCCTTTTATAAATCCTCTGATTGTTCCACTATTCAAAATTGTACAGCGATATTGAAACTCAATATCATTCCTAAACTGAATTGATTATTGTAGACAAACTTTCTGAAAGAATTAAAAATGATTTTATTAAATGAACAATATGGTTTTTGAGTGAAACAATCTACAACTACTAATTTGTTATCCTCCCAATATTAAGTAACAGAAAATCTTGAGGAAAAACTTTCAGGAAGAGACTATTTACACAGACTTTGCTAAGGCATTCGACAGAGAATACCATAAAATATTGTTACAAACATTAAATTATATAATTATACACAGTTTACTATTGAAATGGTTAGAAGATTATTTGTTAGGAAGAACCTTGAATGTAAAATACAAAATCTTTAACTCTAAGGATATTCACATTCCCTCTGGAGTTCCACAAATATCTCATCTTGGCCCTCTTTTGTGTTTCTCATCTTTAAAAATGATATAGGGAATGCATTAATATCTTTTAATTTTCTTGTATTTATAGATTATCTTAAGTTATATTCGGTTACTAAATCACATGACTATTGTTCATTATTTTCAGAAAACCTTGATGCACTGTCCTCATGATGCAATGTAAATTTCTTATCTTTGAATATTAAGAAACGTAAAATTATGAGTTATTCTAAACTGAAAAAGCCATTTAATTTTGATTATAAAGTGAATAACCAAAGTCTTGATTTGGTCACTACATTGGTCACAATTGTTTTTGACCAAGTTCTTATATTTAATTTTCAAATAATATATTATTACCAAATCTAATGAGATGCTTGGTTTTAGGAACAACAGACAATATTTTAACTTTTCATACATTATACCTGACATTAATTCAGCCAATATTGCTTTATGCATCTTCTATATGGTCTCCATATTTTAATAATCATATTAAGATATTAGAGACAGTAAAACAAGTTTTTTTTTCTTATGTTGAACGGCAAATAAAAATTCCATCACCTAGAGTAACTCATAATTACACTCACATTGCTACCATTCTCGATATTAGCTCATTACATCCTCACACATTATATAATTAATACATTTTTGTATAAATTAATAAATAATAAAGTTGATTATGAATACTTATTTTATATTTACCATGGAATATACCATCTAGTTGCACTATCTAGCCTAAGAATATTCAAATATTTGTGACACTGATAGCGAGAACAATTTTTTTTTTTTATTCACTACTGTTGCGTGTGTGACAAATTGCAAATAATTTTAATTTGGATTTTACACTACTGTTTACCATTTTTATGAACTTTTTATAAATCTAACATTGTTATCACTTCTCAGAAATGAGCTTAGAGGCATTTGTGGCAAGAGACGGGGCACAGCAAAAGCCTGCCCCTGCATTCATGGTCAAAGACTTGGCCACATTCCCGGGGCCGGCGGCAGTAGTGAATGTCGTCATTCTTGGAAGTGAGTGTGTGCGTGTGTGTGTGTGTGTGGGGGGGCGCGCAGTAGAGAGAGGTGAGACATGATGGGGTGTCGAGGGTTGGAACAAAATGTGAATGTGAAGGTTGCATGTACTCTCTTCTCCTGTTAAGTTTGTCCACTGTGACTATTAATTGAATAAATTATGTATCAAAATACAAGTATGTGCGCAATTCATGGATGAGAAGAAGAAACCCTCACAAATATATTACATTATTTTAATTAATTTACTATATTTTTGTTATTGCGCATATTTGTTATTTTCAATTAAACTTTTGTAAATTATTGAAGGTATTCATTTACTAAACTGCATAAACTTGTAAATAGGTTAAATGCAGGTTAAATAAATAAAGAAGAAAATATTGCAATGTGTATCATACTATGTCAGCACTTAAATTACGTAAGAAGAAATCAATAAATTTTACATCAAAAAATTACAACACACGTAAAAATCACATTTATCAAGCGTCAGTATCAACAGCTCACTATCAGAAATCCACATACAATACATCCGCATACTTTACAACGCATTGCCAGATGACATTAAACAATTAAAGTTGGTGCACAAATTTAAGTTAAAAGTAAAATATTTTCTGCTGCATAACTCTAAACAATTAGAGACTATACTGATTATCAAAACGAAAAAAATTATTTTAATAAAACAGTGATATATATTGAATTAGTTAACATTTGTATTGGATAATTTTTTTAAATATGTCTTAATATGTTTGTACAAATAATGTACTTCAGCTTCCAGGCCAATGACCCCCATTTTGATCAGGTTTCCCTGATCCATTGAACAAATGCTGAGATGGGCCCTTTTATGCTTCTGGACCTTAATGAAGCTTCACTGTATGTTCTTGTTGAACTCTCCTTTTGCTTGTAATGGTAAGAGTAGAGATAAGGGCTACTTACTATTTTGTTAGCAATGCAGAAAAAGCATACTTGCAATTTATATACTAATGCGAATAAGTTTTTTATAACTCGGAAATGAAAATGTCTATTTTTTTTTAAATACTGCTAATCTCACAATTTTTTAAAATTTATTTTTATTTAATTTAAACTTTTACTCATCTTTCAACTATTTACAGTTAAAACGACGGGAAGGGATTCTGGAACTCAATAAAACATGCGCAGATAATCGATAATCTTCTCCCCCATATGTCTTGTATAGTTTTTACTGTTTTTTTTGTTGCGTTCATCATTTTATAATATTTGTAGTTAAAAGTTTGTGATTAATGAAGGTATTGGTTTCCCTGTTTCAAATGGTCAATGCATATAGCTCATAAAATATCAAAATTTATGAATCATGACTAGCATATTTCCACATTATCCGTGTTATCATCCAGTAATACACAATAATGTAAGAAAATATCCTGACAAACTTAATGGAAAATTTCTCAAAGACAGAAGGAGAATTGGATTAAGTAATAAGAAAAACATATATCCAATTTTCATTATTTTGTGTGTAAATATAAAATAGCTTGTAAACCATTGATTGTTTTTCTTTCATTGCTAGCAGAAAAGCTTGTTCATTTTATTAAAATATAAGATACATCTCTATTAACGTACATTAGTTTTAAAATGTACAGGAAGCTAAATGAGCATTTTTTTATAATCTACATCTCTCCTCACCAACTATTCCGTTTTCTTCTTGTAATCCGTTTAAAAAAACGTTCTTCAAATATCATTACGTTCAATTTTCTGAAAAAATTAGTAGTTTTTGCGTAATTTTTGCTTCAAGTGAAGCCAATTTAAATTTTGGTTCTCAAAACTGGCACCAAATTTTTTCTTTCAATTTTTTCCTTAGATAAAGCATCTTCTATAACAAGTTCTATTCTGTTACTAGGGGACCAAAAAATTGAGCAAATGCACACACAAAAAGCATTTTAGATGCCGATATGTAACAACTGGAAAGAGGGTGGGGACAAAACCGAAAAGCTGGCCTACACAAAACAGAGTTGGAAACTAACTAGTAAAAGAACATCTACGTCATTCTGCAGCTCCACTAGTTTTGTAAAAATGCCAGATTGACAAGTGGTTAAAATTTCTAATGCAATGACCCAGGAAACATGAACATAATTTATAACTTCACATGTATTTTTTGGACAAAGAATTATCAGAAGAAGATTTTAAATGAAGGAATTGAAATGTCATACAATTTAAAAAACAAATGTTATATACACAATCATTTGTTACGTAAATCTGCATTAAATAGTCCCAAACACTTGAAAATCGAAATGAAAATCATACATTAAATTCTGCTATTGATTTGAACTGGGGCCCTGCAAGTCTAAAAATAATATTCTAATTTTATAAGAATCTCCTTCTCCATTTTCAAGATTTGCTCAAAAATGTTTTTCCATTTGGAATGCTTATTTAGTTTTAAGGGAGGGTATAGAAAGCAAATACTTTTAGTAATTCAAGTGATGTTTCAACCCTTCAACATGCCTTTTATATAATTTACTTGTTTCTCCAAAAAGATAATGATATGAATATTTTAGAATGAGATTTCTTTCTCATGCAAAGTAGATACAATTAATAATTCACAAGAGATTGTCATTTAAGAGTTCCAATGTTTATTCCCTACTGATTTAATAATTTTACAGAGCCCGATCATCATCACTACTTGCTATCTGAATCCACATATCAATAAAGACACAATGAAAAATTATGAAAGCAATTTTCTGAAGCTAAAAACTGCAGAGAAGACAAAGAAGTAATCACAATATCTACAAAATCAAATGCAAACAATTTATATGATACTATATTTCTAAATCATTGAAATAGCATAATAAATTTTAATGAATATTCAGCAAAACATAATAAATATCATTTATTAGGAACATTTCCATTGACATTTAATTCCACAGTAAAACTTCTTAATTGTTGCATGCCAGTGATCCCCAAAATTGGTTCCACATACATAGAAAATTATTTTTCTTGACATCCCATTATACTTTGGTGCAAAAGTGTGTATAATACAATACACAACTATTATTGAAATGTAAGTATGAAGTGTAGATTATTTTCTGTAATTGCTAGAAGCAAAAGAGGTAACTAAATAATCTTCAAAATACAGTATGATGAAAAAATTAATCATACTACTTTGCCAACAGCCTGCCTTGCACAGTGAATTGCATAAACTTCAAAGTCTGTTTACCCTGAGAACTGAGAAACAATTCAAAATTATATATATTTGAAGGGCAGCACAAATGTTATTTCCATGCACTTTCCTCAGTTCTATAAAGCCTGCATTCTACACCTCTAGCTGCTTATCAAAATTCACCAAGTAGTCAAAGAGTTTCACCCGAGTACTAATGCCACCTTACGTGCAAAATATGTGTCCACACTCAGAGAGTCTATTTTACAGTGTAAAATGGTCACATGAAAATGCAGGAACTTGTTTCGTTTTATTGCATTGACAAGTTTCTAATGAAAGAAAATATAGTGAAACCTGAATACAATGACCACTATTGGTTCCATTAAAACAGAGGTATCTTAGATGGGAAACCTTTTTTTCTCTTCTTTTCTTTCTTTAACCCTTCATTACGCAGAGCACAATTACGCTCCACAGTGTATTGTAAAGTTAATATCCTTAATGTTGGGGAGTTATGCAATTGATATTCACTGAGTCTACTCTACATGTTCAGATATGATTGTGGAATGTGTCATGCTCACTCTTTCACAAGTATTCTAGTAGAAAAGGCGTAAGTGTTCTTAGTCGTTGTTGGTGCACATTTGTATTCAGCACAAGCATTAATTAACAATTTTTTTTTAAAGTAAGTACACGTTAAAATTTCTTTGCATTCGAAATATAATTGAATTTGTTTAATCTAATATATTAGTAATGGCTACGTAGGCATAATGCCAGATGTCTGCCCTGATGTGAAGGTTTGGATGCAATGGGTGGAGGAAGAGTTACAGGCCGATGATCTTTGCGATTGTTAGGAAATACTGAAGCCTCAAATCCACAAACAGATAAAACTACCCATGATTCCCACACAACTAAGATTTCTAGGATTTTTGTTGTTAGGAGAGGCTCCTGAATAAAACACTTAACCCCTTTACCAAAAAAGAAGGCAAAATATTTGGCAGAGCCAAAAATAAAAATTGATGAGACGAATGTATGTAAAATACAATGAATGAGTAAGTACTGAACACTCAACAACGGGCATTGGGCGTTACTACTGTAAATAATTTATTATACTATATTTTTCATTGTTATTAATAAAATTTTCTTCAATGTTAGCTTAGTATTCATCCTCACTATTATGACAAATAATGTTTCATAAATGAGTACTGAATATATTATTTTGACATTAAATCATCCTTTAACAATAAAAATACATTAATTTAGAATTATTAGACATAATTAATTAAATTATCCACAATAATATATAATATTGTACCAAAAAAAAGGCTCGGATTACATTTGTACTCCACACAAGCATCCGTTACATTTAAGATCATGCAGGCAAAGAAGGAGTAACACAGAATGTTTCATTATTACATTGGATGTTTGGGGAGAGCTTATTTTATTCAACTGAACATATTTAAAGACTTTTATTACAGTATGTGAAAAATAAAAGATAGCATATTTTCAGTAAATAAATAATTTAAAAAACGTAGGTATACAAACTATGAAAAAGAAACAAATTTTATTTTGCCTATTTCGATGTATTAAATGCCTTTCTAAGAATATTAATTATCTTTTTAAATGCATTTTTCATAATAATATTTCTTATCGCCTTTTTCTCTTGGGTAAATATAAATGTTTAAATCAATTTCAGATCCAATAGTTGACTACCAATAATGAACCTCCATTTTCTTGAGTAGACTTAACATGTCATTTGTATACACACGTCACATTCTATGTCTTGGCAGATTTTAAAACTCACTTTTCTCATATACCCACACACATGCATGCATGCATACACACCCACACATATACATGTGATGATTCTTGGGTGAGTGCTTGGCACAGATTCCAGGCACAACCCAGACCATTGTGTGTTACGGGGCTAGTTGATAACCCTAGCTTCTGCCATTGATAACCTTCCATTCAAGACGTTCAAGGAAAGTAAAGTAAGGATGTATCTGTTTATTCAAAGAATTAAACGTTAGATCACTTTCATATCCATCCTGACATTAAAGAAAATGAAATCGAAATGGAGCAAGCAGCTGGGAAGCATATTAGTGGCCATGATACATTGTTATGTGATTTCCAGAATACCCCTGCCCCAATTTCTTTGAAGATTGAAGTTCAAGCACAGGGCATTTCGAGCAAATGCCATTTACAAAAACGTCATTTTCCTTTAATCTACTCAAAATTTGGTGTACTTTATTCTTTCAATTTTCCTGAAAACAGCCTCTTAGAAGTAAATTAAGAAAATTGCTCTGAAAAGGCTGGTCAGTGGAAAGTGGGGTGGTCTGTTAACAGTGGTATGATTTGGATTCAATATGAGCTTCAGTGTCCATTCCAAGAATTAACAGTTGTTGAGAGGGTGGTAATTAAATATGGTTATCTTTCAGAGATATTGCACAGTACTATGGTATTCAAATTAAGAGGTTTTACTGTATCAATAATTTGTTTAGCAAAACCTTATTAAGGCTCATAACTGCCAATTGGTTTTTCACAGATTTTGCAGATAAAGTGATGCTAAATACAAATAAATGACTACATTTATTGCTGACCAAAACAGATAAAACTATTGAAATAAATACACAAAATATGATATACATGCAAAATCTAACTTGTATCCAGTTTTATAACAGCATGGAGGAAAAAGTATTAATTACATAATACATATCCTATATTCAAATTATGCCTTTCTTTTTTTACTCACCTGAAACGAATAACAGTTTTTCCAATAGAATCACCCTGTTCAACATGTTGGAAAGCAAGTTCAGCATCTTGTGGCATGAATATTTTGTCTACTACAGGTTGCAAGCCACCCGTTTCAACCATTGCACCAAGATTTTCGAGAACAGAAGGGTTTAGGACTGCAGAAGTCCATACACTAGCACCAAATAATCTCTAGAAAAAAGGGTTAATTTTAGTTGCAGTTTTAAAATCTTCAAAAATATCTATATTTTAAATATTTTAGCCTTTAAAATGAAAAACATTGCTATGGATAAAAATACTAGAATTAATATCTATTCCGGATCAAAAGAATAGAAATTTGAAAACAATGGCTTAGGATTAAAACATTGGGTATCAATTAATAGCACTTAGAGAGGTGTAATTCACAGCACATAATCAATACTCCGATATTCACAAATAGCATGCATATGTTTCACTACTGAACCCAACGTGCTTTTACGATATGCTAAATTGCATCGTGAACCTTTTGAAAAATCCAAACAAATTTTTCATATACCAGGGATCTCAAAAGCATGAATTTCTTTTGATTCGATGTCAAAATCCAGATATCTAATTTTTGCAGTATTATATACTAACTTTCTCTATGTGACATGTAAGAGGAAGTAAAACAAGTTCAAACTTGTTGATTGTGTTCTGTAATGGAGGGGAAGAGAAGAGAATTTGTCTTGTAATCAAAGGGAGGACAAGCATGGAGATGAAAATTATAGGTCTAACCTATACTCTCACTTTTCAAAGATTTTTACATGTATTCAATTCCTTACACTGTCTTAAAGCCGTTTGAGTTAAGAACTCCATGTTTTTTCTTAAACTACACCAAACTATCGGAATTCTCACAAATTTTTAATAACCACATCAATGAAGTTGCGCAAATTTACATAATCTACATACATTTCAGCAAATCTTTTGAAATCCTGGAACACAAAATTATTTTACAAACACTCTCTTATCAGATGTATCACATAATCTTATTAAAATAATTCCTTCCATTATCAGAACCATTATAATTCTATTTACTATACAGGAGTTTACTCTTCAGCATTTTTCCTAGCCTCTTTCTTTCAAAAGATTCAAATCTTTGATAACTTTATTCATTATTGCAGTTAATGATTAATTGTCACATCTTAATTTATGCAGAAATAAGATTATTCCTTATCAATAAACCAGAAGACTGCATTGTTTCATAGACAAATACTGACCATGTCACCTTCGATAATAACATTGGGGATACTTCACTTCAAAGAGTTAATATAATAATAGATCGGCAAGTAATCTTTGTTGCCCATACATTTTCGGCAAAATGAATTAGTGCCGAGTTCAGCTAATAGAACACTGGGCTTTTTGACTAAGTATTGCAGAGACTGTAAACCAATAGATACTCTGTGAACACTTTTTATTACCTTGGTGCAACCCAAGCTACAGTATGCAGACTTAATATGGTCATCATCTTTCTTTACAGGTTAGACATATTGCCTGTT